TAAGGTTTAAGGTTTGTGAGAAAAACACAGTGTAAAACTCTACTGTATGAAATGATTTCTTATCACTTCTGCCACCATAATAGTTTTTGGGATATTTGTCTTGTATTGATTTACTTTATCATAGTTTTAGGTTTTACTTTGAGTTCATTTTCAAGTTTATGCCTATGTGGATATGTAGTATTCGGAATTCCTGGTGTGGAAGCTATGGTAGCACGAACATCCTGGTTCCTGCATATTGTCTGAGCCAGTGATATCTGTTATTTCAGTAACTGATCATCTTAAGATTTGAATGGCAGGTGGGTGGGGCTTCTATGCATGAGAATACCATATTGGAAATCCCTTTTTTCTACATCACAAAAGGGTGAGAGAAAAAAAATTCTGTTGTCTGATGTCTTTAGCTTACAAGGGTTACTTGTACATATACTGACCTCATTATTAGAAACTTTGGCCATGTCTAATATGAAAATCCACCACTGCAAGACTTTTTATGAGACAGGAAATAAAAGCATACAATGTTCCCTTTGATAGACATCGGCTTCAGGTAGCTTATAATGAGTCTGGTATGTTTGTAAAATGGATTGTTCAGATTCAGTTGCTGTCAAATCTTTGAAAACAAGCTTTCCGTGTCTCACATTTAGTATTGATTGTGCTGGTGAGTCGTGCTTCCTGCAGGGTGATTTTCCTCAGAAATGTCTGCTGAAGTGACGCCTTATTGAGCCTCTCTGGTCACATTATCAGAGTGACATTCCTCTGATCTGCCTCTGCTGTCAGCCAGCTCTACAGTGGATTTTGGAGTGTTGGTCATCAGAGTATCTCCTGCTGTCTAATTTCATCACAAAATGTTTTTTAGCCTGATGTCTTTACAGCGGCTCAGTTACCACATTACAACATTACAGCTGCTTGTGGATATTTCTGCAGAACGCATACAACTGTCATTTCTACCAATTGGTCATGCCAGATAATGGGAGATAATTAAAGTGAAGAGAGGCTTGATATCACATTCCTTCATCTAACAGACACATACCCGCCTATAGAAAGAATACATACTATAAAAAGACACAAGATTAAGAGTTTCAAAGAGCCTCATGTCGAGCGGGAAATAGGACTCTCGATCTGATTTAACCTCCCTTCTGGCATTGCCCTGTGGCTTCAGAGTATCAACAAATCATTTCATAATGTTCTATAACATGATAGATGAGGAAAATAGTCCCCACTCAAGCCGCAAAAAATCGTTTTTTTCTTTAGCGGCAAAACTCTGCTGGGTGTAAGTCAGGTCTTAATTTTAGCACCATCACCAAACAACACAGTTTCAGCAGAAAACCAAACACAGACACGCTCAATAAAATACATTAACCATATATATATATACATACATGAGAATATTACAGTTTATGTTGGCTGAGTGATGCTAATGATAATAAGAGCTAGTTGAATTGTGTAAATAGAAAGAAAGGATGCTTCAGCCCTTCCTTTATTACCTCCTTCAACAAAGGATACAACCAAAGATCCTTTTTAAAAAGAAAGGAGATGATGTGTTCACATATTACACAGGACATGTCAACAGGGTGGGAAAAACCAAAGGTCTGAGAGAAAACCTGCCCAAGCACCTAAAGAACATACAAACTCGTCACACTCAATGCAAGCCACTGTGAACCCACAGTATTAACCACTCAGCTTCTCCCACAATTGACTCAGTCAACCATCTAAACAAAGATGCTCTGATCTGCCTCTCTCACTTTTAAAAACCAACATTCAGTGCTAATTGACCAAGTTCTTGAACTTGTCTGTAAGGCTGAGCTCAAAAACTCTTTGGAGAAAGCTCATTTCTGCTGTTTGTCTCCTCAGTCTTAGTTTTTCAGTCACCACCCACAGCTCATAGCCACAGGTGAGGGCAGGAATATAGATTGACCAGTAAATCAATAGCTTCACCTTCAAGCCCTCTCTTCACCACATACAGGTATAACATCTACGTCACTGCAGATGATGCATCAATCCATCATGAAAACCAAACTGAGATACTCAAACTCCCCCACTACAGGGAACAACTCCTCAAATCAGAGTGGGCATTCCACACTTAATACCATGGAGGTGTCAAGGGTGGTTTTCAAATCACAGTCATTAAAGAATCTTAGAAAATTGAAACGACTTGATGATGAACAAGCTGTTGAAAATCATGCAATGTAGTTTTAAGCAAGCACTTTGACATTCAGTAAAAATCTCTAATCAAGCGTGAACCCATGGATTTAATTGATTTGCCAAGCCCTAAATGAAAAAGTGTAAAGTGCCAGAACAAGCAGGCAAATTAGTCCTGCAGAGACTTGGATCTGTTATCATTTCAACTCAAAAGCGGGAAAAAAAAAGGAAAACTTCAACAGTCAAGCTTATAATGTAAGTTTTTATTAAATAGTATTAGTGACAAAAATCAAAAGATTATAAATTCCAAAATAAATGAAAAAGATTATGCAGACAAACAGGCGAAGCTCGGCACAGTATCATTCATATACAACTGTGAACACCTGATTTTTCAGTTTCAGAGTATAAAACATTTTGCTGCGGTGCTGCTTGATTGCTCGTGTAGTCCAGAAAACACTGGGGAGGAAATCCAGGAGTAATGTGAGGAAACAACCTCCAAATCAAACCGAGTTGTCCTCTTTCTCAGGATTCCTGATCAGAGAGAAATGTTGAGCAAACTGAAGGAAAACTCAGCTTCTTTATAACACAGAACACACTGAACACCTTTCACATGACCCTAACACCGATCAACATCAAGTCCTGAAATTATATGAGTATATGAGATTATTGACATTTATGGGAGAGTTTAGTGGATACTTAAAGTAACTGTAAGATCCAGTATTATAACTCACAGCATGCTGGTCACAGTCTTGTTTCTCTTGTATTTAATTTCGAGAGCTGAATGACTTTTGGTTTGTGTGTCCAATAGTCCAGTGGATACAGGTGATGTTGTTCATTTCCACTAGTTAGAAATTTTGTTCTGATTGGTCCCTTTGATGGTGCCTGTTTCCACATGATTGACTACACCAGACGTAGGAGTGTAGCTAAAGCCCAGCAGAAACTTCCATGTGTACAGGAGAAGCAGCTGGTTGTGTTGGCTGAAGGTGGTGCTGTCAGGAGGCTACTGCTACAAACTCTCTGCTGTGTGTGAGTGAAATCAAAATGGTGACTCTAATACTCACAGAAAAGTATTTTACTGCATTCCTAACCTGTAAAAAATGAGCTACATCTATTCTTTCGATGGCTTCTATCTATAACAGAACGTTTTATCCAGAAAATGGTAATTCTGGTTGACCTTAAAAAACGATCTTCCATAGCTGATCAGATGGTTCACGGTGTCTGCTGGTTTGGGACACATGTTACAGTTTGCATACTGGAGTTACTGTCTGAGACAATTCTAGGTCATATCTTGACTTATGGCATCATATTTTTGGATCTTAGATGTTGTTTTTTCCTGTAGCACATATTACTGGCACCTGATTTAACCCCTTGACATCCTCCAGGTCACCAGTGAAGCCCTTGGAATTATGGCTGCACTTTAGCCACATTCTAAATGTGGATAGTTGTTACCTTTCAAATTAACTGTGTTAAAAGCATGTTGGCCTTTCAGTTCCTCTGTTATATTAGTTCCATTTGGATATGACACACAGGTGAAAATTCTGTATAAAGGGGTAGACTCGAACTCAAAATGGATTACTGGTGACTTGCTGGATGTTAAGAGGGTAAATTTATATTTGAGTATATTAAAAGACTCGAAAGGGGGGAAAATCTTTTAAACCAAAGGTAAAATATTGGAAAAAAAACACTCACTTAAAAATTTTATGTGTGTCACATCAAGAAAGGTTCAGTGTAAATTTACCACAAAACACATTTTCAGTGAGTGTGCTTACATGGCTATGTAGCGTCCTGCTATTAATGATATGGAAACTATGATAATACGAGCATCCTGGCTTCTGCATATTGTTCAAGCTGGTGATATCTGACATTTCAATAACTGATCGTCATCAATTCCACCGTTGACCAATTTGCTGCAGGTGGGGTTTTTGACAGTAAGGGAGTTTGGAAATTGCTTTGGAAGTTCAGGGCAATGATTGTTTGTGGACATTTTTAGGCAGCAAACAGAACGGATTAGAAACTTGTCATCCTTGCATCCTAGTCAGGTGCTTGAAAAAACTCAACTGCCTCCTTTCGATGTGGAGCTCCTCACCTTGTCGCTAAGGTTGAGGCCAGCTACCCTTCATAAAAAGCTTATTTCTACTGCCTACTGTCCACTAGCCAGAGTTTGTGACGTCTTTATACATTTTCTGGAACCCTAAACAAATGCAAGTAAATTCCTGTGACATTGCGGCACACCATTAGTGCTGCTGCAACTAGAAATCAGGACTTCTTTCACTGGTAGCAGTTATGTATGATGAGGTTTGTTTGTGTCACCTTCATAGCAGAAAAAAACACTCTTTAATAAGCTTGAAATAATTTGCTGACTGATTAAGCCTGCTTCATATTGAAGACGCTCTGAATTTTTGAAATGTAGGTGTCAATAGCAGGACACTTAAACATAACCAGTAAACATATCTCCACATAAACACGCTCACAATTTCAAAGCATATGACACATCAGTCTGTATTCCTAAACTGCATTAATATGAATATAACTCTTGGGGCAGATCACAGATCAGAGCGCTGTCAGCTGTTCTTCCGCACATCCATCCGCTTCCGCTTGTCCTTTTCAGGGTCGCGGGGGGCACTGGGGCCTATCCCAGCTGTCATATGGCGAGAGGCGGGGTTCACCCTGGAGAGGTCACCAGTCTGTCGCAGGGCTAACACACAGGGACAGACAACCATTCGCGCTCACATTCACACCTATGGGCAATTTGGATTATCCAATTAACCTATCCCCACTAACTGCATGTCTTTGGACGGTGGGAGGAAGCCGGAGTACCCGGAGGGAACCCACGCAAACACGGGGAGAACATGCAAACTCCACACAGAAAGACCCCGGCCTGATGGTGGAATTGAACTCAGGACCTTCTTGCTGTGCAGCAACAGTGCTAACCACCGTGCTCCTGCTCTTCAGCACGTTCCTGAAAAAGGTCTTCATGCTCAAACTTCTGAGCCCTCTCTGATCTGGACATGGTGTTCTGTGTGAATGTGACGAAGCACAAAGGAAGAGGAAGGGGACTGGAGTGAAGGTCAAGAAGAGGTTTAAAAAAGTTATCCCCCCCAACCAAAACGCTGGTCAACCCCCTCTGCTGCTTCAGTTTAAGACAGTGCTCATAGAAAAAGTAATTCCAGTTCATTTAGTTAGAGTTTGTTAAGCCCCGCTGCTTGTCTTGATTTCTCTCAGGTGTTTTGTTCAGGTGCTCTCTGTTCAGAGTTCTACAGTATTCAGTCATTCACGGTGAACATGAACACTTCTCCTTCTGCCTGCCAAATCCCTCTTAATCTTTTTCTTTTCTCTTCTGAATTCAACACTTTTCCCATTCATCCATTTTTATAGTTCTTCCTCCCCTTTTTTCACTTCCCTTGCCACCCGACATTTCATCCTTATTCTTCTTTTATGCTTCCCTTTTTCTCTTTACTTTGTACCTTCTATTTCTCTCCTCACCAACAGACTGACAAACAGGTAGATGGATAGAAGCGTCTTGTCCAATAACGAGTCTTGGCTAGGATCACATGCCTGTGGAGGAGAGTCCCAGGCCGGCTGCTTTGCTCATGCAGGGTAAACCCTGAGCTCCGGCTTTTGGGAAATCGTGGGCCACCACGCGGCCATTCTCCCCTCCAAGTCCTGACGGTCCAACTCCTAACCCACCAGCAACCGCTCCTCCTCCTGCCACCGCTATCCCGCCAAGGCTGGTGCTCATCATGGCGGCATCAATAAGCTCCTGCAAGACAGGGAGAGATGAGACAAAAGTTATTTAAGCACACAGACTCACACAAAGACAAGTCTTTATTAAATTCAGTTTAAATAGTTAAATTGTTTGGCAAAGAGGAAAAATATCTCAAAACTCTTTCATTTAGCAGATGAAAATCCTTCTAATAGTTTCAACAGTAAGTTTTTCTCTTGACCTCAGTTTCCAGTTAACAGAATTAATATTACCTTTTTAAGGCCAGAATTAATCAACCACATTTCACGTGAATTTACCTTGGATATCCATAATGTAGATATTTTTATTTCCATCCATAACCAGATAGCAAAAAGTCTATTTGGATCTTATCGACAAATTCTTCGAGTCCATGTTGTTTCTTTTATTTATTCAGTTTTTATATTTCATATGTTGAAAATTTTACTTTTTGCCAGTGTACTTTCCAGACTCTTCGCTCTATGTGAAAGATGTTCTTTCTGCACAAATCAAAAAGATGTGATGTTCATGCTCCCAGCATGAACAATAACAATCACCAAATATCAGCATAGAAATGTATTCTACTAATCACTTACCTTGATTCATTTGATTAATGGAGGGATATTCTTGTTGTTTTTGGCTTTCACATCCACCAACACAGAGTGGAAACCTGGTGGATGCTGAGGAAGTTCATGAGGTATCAATAATAAATGTGTGTGTGTGTGTGTGTGGGGGGGGTGGTGTTTTTTTTAAAATGATGTTTTAACAAATTAACAACAGTAAACATTGCCTAGCGGAAGAGGATGGATGGAGGAAGTATTACCTCCTATTACACTAGATGGTTTTTCCACTGAGGTTCTTTAGTTTCTTTATTCCTCAGATTTCTAGTTTGATTCATAGACATTCAGTCGGCTGAAGTCAGAAATAATGACGCACTTTATATATGTTAATATTGTTCACAGAGTTATGACTCTGAGAAGTAAGACTTTTGGCATAAACTACAGTGATCTGGTTGAAGGCTCCTAATTGCCTCCATGAGTTGTTTCACAGCTGCACATCCAGTTTTTGGATAAATGATGCTTGAATGAGTGTGTACCGCAGTAGACCGTGTGTGTGTGTGTGTGTGTGTGTGTGTGTGTGTGTGTGTGTGTGTGTGTGTGTGTGTGTGTGTGTGTGTGTGTGTGTGTAAAAGAGTCATCACCAAAAGTGATCAGAGTAGAAGTTGTTTTTCAGTAGCAGAATGAAGCTCTTTCCCTCAGCCTCACCTCTCAGTAAAACTAATGATGTGGATCCAAAGTTAATATCCTGCATCGGGCCTCTGAGGCTCCCACGCTCCCTCTCTGTTTGCTGCAGAGTGCCGACAGTCGTCAGGCAGATTGGTACAAATAAATCCTGGATTTATTCACTTACTGAAGCAGCTTCAGCGCCTACAACGCCTTGGAGCGAGCGTACTTACGTCTGAACGCCCGACACCGAGCACCATGGGCATCTCCCCTCATGTCTCTGCATCTCCTGCCCATCTTTTTCGTTTTGATAGAAGGTTTTATTATGATAGCAGCTCTACATATGATGTCAACAACAAAACAGCATCTGTCCCTGCAGAGTCAGACCATCACTGCTGTTGCCTGCAGATAATAATAGCCACCTGTTAAACCATCGTGAAGCAGACAAGAGATTTTTGTGTCCTGAATATGAAAATGTCTCCTTCCAACACTGTGGCCCCAATGACGGCCCTGTTGAAGCTAAAACTGAATTTTAAGCATCACTTGTCGATTTGGCCAGTTTTTAAGTAAAAAAAGTAAGAATCTGATGATAAGTAAAAGACATTATAGAACTTACAGGGGCATTTTCATGTAGAGACTTGATTCAAAATAAGTCTCAATGTGAAGAGAAGTAATAAAGCCACTGAGTAATAGGTGGAAAAACTTAAAGCTGGTGTTAAACAGGTGGAAAGTTTCAAACAGATGAATGCAAACAGGTTGGAATATAGGTGGGAAGGATTCCTTTTTTGGAGACCATGAACTTTTCTAACCTAATACACAGTTGTTGTTATGATATCTTAACTGTCATAAAGTGAATGTACAAACTTGACTGGACATGCATGTCTTTGGACTGTAGCAGGAAGCTCGAAAATCTTGAGAAAACTCTTGCAGCAACACAGAGAGCATGCAAACTCCAGGAAGAATCATCTGTCCCAGGAAGATTAATCCTGATGTCCACTTCTATGTGACAAATTAGTATCAAGGTTTGCACAGATGTTACTAATGAAGAACAAAGAACTTTAATGATCTGCAGCCTCATTAGGACAGGAAGTTGTGTCAGAATGTGAGCATGGAGCATAAGGTTTATACTGATCATATGCAATTAAGCCACAAAGCATCTCACGCCACTTAATGCAAAAGTAATGCAACAACTTACTTTGTCCAGGACACAAATGACAAGTAACGTGTAATGCATTTCTTTTCTTGAATGAACATCCCAACACATGGCAGATATTTGTCATGTATGGGTTTAACACGATCAGTATCTCTGCTTCTAGCGCGTTCTCATCCCTCGGGTATTACTTAATGCAGTTTTGTCGCTGTCGTGTCTCTGTTGAGCACAGGGTGTCCTTTAGTTTCTGTGCCTTGACACAGTAGGTTATGAGATCAGCGCGAGGGGTCTGTCCTCAAATCCCATCATTAGTGAGTGTATGGGTTATTGTTGTGAGCTGTGTAGCCCAAGCCACAATCTTCTCGTAAACCTAACTGCAGTTTTCAGAAACCTGAAAACTAGGACTACTTCACAGCACCTAAATTTAACCATTATTATATGAAATATAAATAAATAAACCATTTGGGTCCTTTGACTAGACCTAACTAGTCCTGATCTTTGTCACGTATACCCCCAAGTGCAGGATGCTTCTTAAACCCAAACCACAAGCTCTTCCTCAAGTCCATCAAGTACTTGTTAGTGCTTCAGTCTAACAAAGTTCTTTTCAGCTTCTAAACCTAATCCCGAACGTTTTAGTGTTTAAACTTAACCAGTTACTTTTGAGCACATAAACCTGACCAAGAAGTTTGAGTTCTTAGAAATAACCAACAAGTGAAAACTAAAGGAAAATAGGACACAGACTATCTAGACCTCTAATATGGGACCATTATCTCTCAGTATCAGCTAATGCCACAATGACAAAGAACGTCTCGCATCTAAGAAAAAGCCATTATATTATGGGCTGGGGTAAGAAAGTGCTGGTGCCTTAGACGATGGTCAATCTAATCGCAACTTGGCACCGAAGTTATGTTGGAGCACAAAGACACATGCAACCAACCTTAAATAAAAAGAAAAGCTACAGCTGCAAAGACCAGAACAGCTTCACAATCCAAACGTTTAGTGCAGTTAAAAACCCTTGCTTCTCTGTTACGGGAGACTATGATGCAATATTAACAGCCTAGTTTCAACAATGTATCAGAAGAGAATGCATCATGGATATTCCTTTATTGATTATCAGTCCCGTGTGTGCTGTCGTGCTCCTTCACATTCCTCTGCAGCAGGTAACCGTTGTGTAGCCCTGCTCCGTATGTGCCCCCATCTGCTCTTACTGATGAAATCTTGGCCACATGTTGTGTCACCACTGCAGAGTTTTTTAAGTCCTCCCTTTGTGCTCAGACAGAAATGTGAAGTGAATGCAAAGTCCAGCGGAGAGGAGACCTGACACACTGGTGCCTCTGCTGTGGAAAAACGACTCTAATGACTTGTTTGTTCCTTCTGAGCAGCCCATCAAAGTCTCAGTATTAACCAGCACAGTCAGTAATGAGGCGACCGCAGTTTCATCACATACGGACGCCGGCGATAAAGAGGAGCTCGAGACCCGAGTGGCAGATGAGCAGAGTTCAGTTGATGTACTTTGAAATGGCAGAAGTGTTTTTGCTCCTGCCCTGTGGCTCCATGCAGAAAAGGGCAGCAGCTCATGCACATGATTAAAAATAAAACTGCACCCATGAATGAACGAACTTTGAGTTCTCTGGTGTAAAAGAAACATGCACTAAAATTATGTTTATCTATTTGACCAGGCTTAAAACACCAACTTAGCTGGAACGAAGGTTATATATCAGCTACAGAGATGCTGTACTACTACTACAAAAAAAACTAGTACAAAATAAACAGGAAATGTCTGTAAATTTGAGACTGGGATGTTTTCATGACTGAAAGTTCTAAAATCTTTTAAATCTATTCAGAAATTCTGAAGCCATCATAATTAAGCCTATAGACAGAAAACTGAACTACCACAGAAACCAGTAAGTACTACACCAAACTGAAACAGTGGAAACTAAACTTGACTAAAGCAAACCTGAATCTGTTGCACTCCCCTAAATATATGGCTAAAATACTCTTTTCTTCCTGTTAAGTACCACCTTTGATTTGTGGTGGCCTGACTGGAGTTCTATTCTTTTTTCTGTCCCTCGGATCCATATAGACACATGAGCCGCGCACTGATAATATTCAGATATACCTACTCAGTTCGCCCTTACGTATGTTCTTCAGCATATATTACCCATCTGTCTCCATCACCTTCATTCACTAATATTCCTCTCTATCTCTGGTTGTTGGTATTGCTTCTGTGAGAACTTTTATGTTATTTTTTTATTCTTCCTAACTTAAATTTGCAAATCAAATCTGTTGCCAGAGCCAGCTTTGTTTCAAAAAACAACCTTGAGAAGGTTATCCGTGCTTTCATCATGCTCAGAATGAATTACTGCATTTTTATGTGGACTCGGGCTCTTCCAAAATGCTCCTGCGAGAGTCCTGACTGATGCACACAAACAAGTAAATGAGTACACATCACCATCCTGGCTGCAAAATTCCAACATGTGTTTGCTCCCAAGTGCTAATCACACTTGTTTCATGTACCATGCTACTCATTTAGATCACATCACCAGCAGCTGTTTAAACCACCAGATTGTATTCAACAGAGAAATTTCAAGCTGAAGCTCAGAAATGATCTGGAGGAGAGGTTGTTCTCCATCTACCTCTGTAACTGTTAACAAATCAGTGCACAAGTGCAAGAAACGAGGTCTGTAAAGACATGGACGAGTGAGTTTGGTGTGGTTAATCTTGACTGGCCTGCACAGAGTCCTGACCTCAACCTGACAGAACACCTTTGGACTGAATTAGAGCAGAGACTGTGAGCCAGACCTTCTCATCCAACATCCGTGCCTGACCTGGCAAATGTGCTACTAGAGAATGATCAGAAATTTCCATAAAGACACTCCTAAACTTTCTGGAAAGCCTTCTATAGCTGCAAAGTTTTAAGCATATGAATAAAAGTGGGATGTCACTAAAGTTCATATGTGAGTGAAGGCAGACGAGCACTGCAGATTGATACTTTTGGCAATATATTGTATGTTCATGCTGGCCAGGACAGCCCAACTTCTGACAGCTATGTAATAGATATTTGTGCTTCATTTGGATCAAAAGAAGCTAAAAAAATTACTGCAACATCAGATATGTGAAATATCCAGCTAAAACATTTCAGGCTCAGCGTTTAAAAGCAAAAATCGCAGACTTGTTTTTACAATTTTACCATTTCTCTGATCTCACCTTCATCCTTCTTGACTCAATCCGAGACTTGTAGCAGAACTCGACCAGAGCCACCAGCATGGCCAGGCCCAGCCCACCAATCAGGATGTAGAAAACTCCAGCTACATTGCTCAGACTGAGCGCGCTAGTTTTGTCCTATCAGCACAGAGAAGTGAGGTTAGAGACACCGAATCATGGTGCACAGAGGCATGACATCACTATGGTTTGAATCCAACTGTAAGCAAAAGGACAAAATTATTTTTAGAAAGTTTAAAATGGTCTAAAATCCCAAAGCTAAATACAAGTTTCTAACTAGGAAGACCATTATGCAGCGTTCAAAGGCTGTGATATTCTGACAAATGGAAATATAAATCCCCTCAGAGAATGTCTGAGATCCCCTGAATTATGGAATTTAATATGAAATTACTTTTGGGCGACATCCACTCAAATTTGAAATTTGAAATTTACTGCCTAACTGATAAGTTTGTAGTTTCCATTCAAAACATAAAACCTAATCGGTGACACCTGCCAGGAAAGTAAGTTTTAATTGTGCTTTGATGTTTTTGTACATCAGAGTCTATTTTGAGATATGAACAAACTCCTCTTTGTAAAAAATCATCACTTTTTCCCAGCTAATCACAATAAGGAAACAGTTAAAATAGTTAATAAATGCTAACAAATGTTAACAAATAACAAACATTGAAACTAATTAAAATGAGAGTTTGTCACTCCAAGAGTCCAATTCAACCATCTAGTCTTTAGCCCAATATTATCTGATATATAAATGTATTTAAAAGTCCAAATGTATCTGACCCTACTGAACAGGGCAAAGACCCTGCTAATGTTCATCTCCTCATGAAAAGAATGACCCTCCGTTGCCTCAATCATAGCCTTTGAACCTCCACATCTATTGATCGGTCACATGCAGCTTCATGCACGAAAATGCAAACAAAATGAGGAAAAAAAATTATCTTGAAATTCTTAACAAAAAGGTCTTATACTTCAATTCAGAGGTTCATTATATCTGTGCTGGTCTTCACGGTCATAGAAATGTGTCATTTATGAAAAATAGCTTTATATCACAATCTTTTAAAAAACAGACTCAGTTGGCGAGCTCTTGAATTTTGCACGTTCTTTCCTCACATGCATCGCTTGGTTTTTGGTGGGTGTGACTTAGCTTTTTCATCCAATAGCATGCAGCCTGTTAGAAAAAAAGAAAGGAGGAAATAGTGGGCGGGGCCTCCCTTCAACAGTAGGAAGTGGTGTGAGCCTATCAGTGGGATTTCCTCTCCACACTGTCATGTTAACCTCAACCAATCAGCTTCTGGGAAATCCCACCAAAAGACACTAAAAAAGTCAGACTTCTTAAAAACAAAGTCATCTGAATTTGTGTGTAACATCTGATGCAATAGTATAGTTCATTGATGCTTTATAGTTGTTAACCAGTTAGCTAAGAGATCATGTGAATGATAGTAGAAATCAGCTTGTTAACAGAGATCTTTTAACCAAATACACTGATTAGATACCAGGTAGGTTAAATTTTCTTTTAAGAATTGTTTCTGGGAATAAACAGTCACGGGTCATTTTTAAAGTTGTCCCTGCCATCACCCTTGTATTTACAAGTGTTTTACAGACTGCATCAATAAGATCAACAGCCTTTATAGGGACTTTTCTTTGTCCGTGAGACTTGTACATAATCAGTTGTCCTACGTAGTGGTGTTAAAGTATAGTAGTATAATATGTTACTGAAAAAACTCAGCAGCTGAGCTCAGTGAGCTGTGAAGCATGATCACTGCCATTACTGACAACGTGTAAACAAAATGTAGATAAACTCCAGAATTAATCATGTCACATTAAACATTTTGAAAACTTGAGGGCATTTTGGGTTTTTTTACATAATGCGAAAGCCTTCTGAATACAGCCTCTGATATGAATGGCTTCAATAAAGAGATGACAAAGATCAATTTTAGTAAATGAATCTCTATTAGTGGACACATCTTATCATCTCTGTATATTTTTGTTATGGAAAGTTCTCTCTACACTAAACTAATCCATCGGCATGACTCTCAGTGCTGCACTTTCAGTCTGACATTAAAAGTGTCTTTTCTCAACAGATTGATGAACGTTTTTCCACCATTTGTTAGTCACGGTCTGTTACTCAGCGAGTTCAGAAGAAGCAGGAGGTACATGACAGATTGGAGACAAAAACATCAGCATTTGTGTGTGGGAAGGAAAGGGGAGGAGGGAGGATGGGTGGGGGCAAAGCTGTGGTCATTTGCTTCAATTTAATCAAAGTTGGTCAGCAGCCATAAACAGAGAGAGAGAGAGAGAGACTCAAAGAGCGAGAGAGGAAGAAACAGGCAAATATATCTGCATTTATAAAAATCTGACATTTTACATCTGACCTGTGTGAAGGGAACGCAAACCTGCTTTAATCTGGAGCTTATCTTCCGGGCCTGATTATGTCTGTTTGACGGCTTCTTCTTTCTTTTTTAGCAGACAAAGTGTCTTTTTCAAAACTCTGTGACACTGTACAGCCACGAGCAGAGACTAAAAATACACATGTAAAAGTGGCACCCAAAGGCAGTTGGATGTGCGATTAAAAGTGATGTAAAAGGTCACATTTTTCAGCAGAGTCACTCGTCTGTCTGTCTGCGGCTGCTTCCATTGAACTGTGCTGACCACCAAATATTCTGGAGAACAGAAGGAAGGCTGAGCAGAGAAAAGCCTCTGAAGAAATCTGATGGATTTCCACTGATCTGGACTCATGAAAACCCCTTATCTCCAAAAAATGTCTGCTTTGTCAGAAATGGCTGAAGCCCCGCTCGTTTGCCTCCCAATTTGCATAAATTTGTCTTCGAGCTTGAATCACGTTTGGTAGGAAAGAAGTTCATAAAAAATACTCAGCACATTTCAGCGGCCTCTCAGTTTAAGTCAGGAGTACAAATTGGAGTTGTGGGGTTTACACATGCCATCAGGATATTAAAATGTTTTCATGTTTTAATATGTTTATCTTTCAGTTCTTCAGAATGGTCAACTGAGTAGCAGTGATACACTGTAAAAGCAAAAACAAAAATCCTCAATAAACCAAAAAAAATAATCAATTAAAAAATGACTTTATGACCTTGAATGAAAAGTTTGTCACTTTGCGACCTGCTTTCATACTTATAGGTGAGAAGAGACCGTTCATGTTTAACCTTCTGAGGCTTCAGTCACAGGACATACCATTATTCCTCAACCAGTTGGTGAGTAGTTGCTGGCAGTCACTGGTTTGGTTTCAAATAGGTCTACAGTGATGCGCCAAAAACTTTGTTGCAAATGCTTTAGCCACTTGCAGGTTGCTGTAATCACACATAGATTGTATGAATTTGTTGGGAAACAAACAGAAGCTGTTTCTGTTCAGTGTGAAATATGTGCCTTTTGAAATGTGTTGGCACAACTTTTGTTGGCAGCACCATCTTTGTGAATGATTTCACCCAGGAACAGTTAGAAAACTACAGCACTACTTGCCAAATCATTGGAAAATACATATTTTTTGCTGTCAAACAAGGTTTTCCAGGGCAGGTCCCTTGGCCTGTATTACTGAGGCCTTACTTTAAGGACTTGAGACAAACAGTCTTTGTGAAGGGGTAACAAAATATACCCAATGAGCACCTTAAATCTCACTAAAACATTTACTCTACTGAAAACACGTTTCCTGTTGTGTCCACTGGTCATTGTTTACAAGTGTAGTTTTATTGGAAGATCTAATACAGTAACCTTTCCATTAGGACCTACTCGGATCGAGTCATCACAGTTCGCCATGGTTTTCAGGATTTTCCTTTAGGTCATAGTGAGAGTACCTGGTACCAGGATCCCTTGGAACCCTGCTTGGCCAGGGTTCAAAGCGATCCAAGCAGGTACTAAAATGTGACTTTGTTAGACTGTATTCCACCAATTGGCTGGTCAGTAGTGTCACTCAGTGACTTATGAGAGTGTCTTGTTCAGGAAAATCAAAGCCCCCATTTATAAGAGCTGGCAACGAATGAAACGGCTACAAGAAACAACCCTGTGGTCCCCGAGTCTGACGAAGAGGCACAGCACAGCAGGTATATTTTTGCCTTAACATACACCTTTGTTGTAGCGCTCATGTCGCACATTAATTACATAATGGGACACGTGGATGCATTGCTATGGTGACAACCACACACATCAAGTAGTACTGGATTGTAATGGAAAACCAGTCGATCTGAGTCGAGTCGTGGCGAGTTGATCCAAGTCGGTACCAATGTAAACGAGACTTAAAAGGTTAAATTATTGTCAAATGCTAGCAAAGGTTTTAAGAGTTCGTTTTGACAGGTGCTTTTCTTTTTTGCTCTTCACAAAGATGTTTTACCTGCATTATTCTAACCACAAACAAGTACAATCAGGCACGAGAAAGCTTGCTGCTGATTGTTCACATTCATCTGCTGGTATCTATTTGAGTTTTGAAGAAGTTATCTACAGGTTAAGAGATGTTTAAGAACTTTCATTTTAAAAATGTATTTTCTTCCTCATGCAGGATCCTCACCCCAGGTTACCTAAACGAATTCAGTCACTGTGATGTAGTATGTATAAAGTGTAAAGGTCATGCTATATTACTGCTCAAGGCCAAGGGACAGTGTTGGTCCCCAGAAAGTAGTAACATGCTCTGTTATTGGTTTTGTCTTACTGATATCTGTTTATCTCCCTAAATGTAAACAGAATTTTTACAGGATTCATATTTTGAATTTAAACTGACTTTAAAACTAAAAAATACATTTTAATGCAGGACAATAAACAAACATTTGCTTTCTATTTAGCTGCAGACTATTAGCGGTGCCTTCACTTATAAAAACACTTTCTTCCAGGTAACTTTTAGCTCAAAGCATACCAGTCAATAAAAATGTGGAATAAAGGATCAAAAATATGAATTAGCTCAACTTTTTTGTTTTTACAGTGTAGCTGCTGGAGTTTCAGAAACTAATAAGGGAAGGGGGAGGGGATTGGGTGGGGTGGTGTAGGGGGTTAACCAACACATGACCTTGGGACCAGGCCTCAAGAACTGACCTTTCTGCCGGAGTCCTTGTGTCCACACTCCCCCTTGTCATACCACCACTTGTTTTTCAACTTGTCTAAGACGGCTTGTTCATTGAGCTTCAGTACTGCTAGGTTTACTGGGATTCTTCAAAGAACCATAAGAGGAAGGGAGGGGAATTGGAAATAACATAAATAACATTATGCACCTCCATGTTATCTTATGTTATTGTTCAGCTGCACAGCAACAGGGCTGCGATAGCTACAGCAGTAGCAGTGGTGGTGGCAGCAACGTTTTTAGCAAAAGTGACTTTAGCAGTACAGTAGCTGTGGAACACTACAGAAAACACCTCAAAAACAGCAGAAAGAAAAACAAACAAACAAACAAAAACAGGCACAATCACACGGAAAACTCTGGAAAATGTCAGCATCAAAGTGATATGCATTAATACTCCATCTAGCTTGGTTTAGCCTGACTCCCTACGTGCGAGATGTGTATTACTATATCACTTTGGGTAACCGGCAAGGGCTGAAAACACTCCGGGAACTTTGGGTTTTCTGAGCAAGAATGCGTCATAAGCTGTCTAAAAAAACAGACTGCATACTATAAACTGTAGTCTCTAGGCAAGGAAGGCTGAACAGCTAACTTTTTCTGGAATAAAATTGAACTGACAAAACTGACTGAAGGGGTATTTTATTAAGTAGGTTTAGTACTTATCAATTCATTGCTAGTTAGCCAGGATTTATTTTCTTCAACTCCATGAACAGACTAGATTTGTATGCTGAACCAATCAGCCACAACCTTTGAACCTTTGGTCACTAAAAGGCATTTATTGTCTTACAATTCAGTGTTGTTCCAGGAAACCCCGGGTCCTAGAATGGCTTTCCTCTGCTTTCATCAGCCCGACAACCTGTACTGCCACACTACAAAAACAACTCTAGAAAGCCTTAAGAAACCCAGACAGACATTGTCTAGGCAAGTCTAGATCCCAACTCAATCCAGCATCTAAACCAGGCATATAAACATGTTGAATCTGGGGAAGTCGCACCTTGCAACTTTTGAGTACTCTAATTATATACTGCCTGACGCCACAGACAACCTTCTGCCCATATGACATGTCACAGCAACCAGAGGTAGAACCACAAAAGTTGGTTTTAGTGTCAGGCTGTATATTTATATAGGTAAAACAGTCCACCTACCTATCTCTGAAATATTGTTCTTATCCATATTAGACTTGAAACACCTAAGACAGACGGTTGGGACGTATTTCACCAATCTTTTACTTTTGTAAATAAATTTACAGATAAATGTCCTATAGTACTATGAAAGACTACAGTATTTAAGCAATCAACTCCTAGACTTTAAATATGTAAATCAAGTTTTGCTGGTTCCTCTGGTATAAATGCAGGTAGACAACCTGAGTTTCCCAAAGGGTTCTAAAGCCCCATTCACCTATAAAGTGGCTGGGTTCATTGTTTCTCAAGGCTGGTCACTGGTCCAGTCTCTGGTTGCCCAAGTCACTTCTTTTGTTCAAGTCCAGGGTCGAAAACCTTTCTGTCACTGTGTAAACCTGGAGAAAATCACCATCTTCCTTCTACACGACTAAAAGTACTAAAAAGTACTGAAAGTAAGGTGGATGTTAGTCTTTTAGTAATGAAAGATTTTCTTTTGTAAAATACCCCATCGATCAGAAAGTAAGAATTCAAAAATGTCTTTGACAAAGAAGGTCACAGTTTTGATGGCTCTATCACCTCCTACTTATCTGTAATAATTTTCTGAGAAAGACACCAAATAGAAGGTTCCTGTAGCATTTCATTGGTGCCATCCGGAGTGTTTTAGTTAGGTAGCGAATTCTGGGTTATTGCCGGTTACCCTGGTGTGCCATTGCCTGTCGTTACCCGTTGGGGTTACGGTGATCTGACCTTGGAGTCCCCTCCCCCGGTGCCGCACTCTCCCTTGTCATACCACCATCTGTTTTTCAATTTGTCCAACAGGCCCTGCTCGTTCAGTTTTAACACTGCCAAGTTAACAGGGTTTCTACGGGGATGATAGTAACAATAAGGGATAAAAGGGAACCTGGTGTTAATGAACAGACGACTGCCACAGTGAAGATAGCAACATTAATACACATGTGTACCTGTGACAGGCATGATATTATTAATGAATGGTACATAAAAACAACAGATTCACTGCTATTCAGCCCAGACCTTGTAACATGCTGTTTTCCTGCATCTTCCTCCTGCATTGTGAACATTACAATGCAAGTAGACCAAATACTTACAGTTAGAGAAAAATGCCATCATTTTTTTTAAATCAAATTTTCTGAACTGGGAAAATCTTCAGGTAATGCACACTAGTGACTGTCTGTCTGTCTACTTTACAGGACTCATGCAGTCTCTTTTGAATCTCTGAACACTGTGGTCTTTAAATGGAGAAACACCGTTGTCAAACTCAATTAAAGGTGTGATGCCCATTTAAATGTAATTAGTTAATAACCTCTGTCTCTCTTCCACAGCATGTTTTTATCCTGTTTTCCTTCTCTCACCACAACCGGTCACAGTAGATGGCCCCGCCCCTCCCTGAGCCTGGTTCTGCTGGAGGTTTCTTCCTGTTAAAAGGGAGTTTTTCCTTCCCACTGTCGCCAAAGTGCTCGCTCATAGGGGGTCATATGATTGTTAGGTTTTTCTCTGTATGTATTATTGTAGGGTCCATCTTACAATATAAAGGGCAGCTGTGGCTACAACTGTAGCTGCCTCCACCAGTGTGTGAATGTGAGAGTGAATGAATAGTGGAATTGTAAAAGTGCTTTGGGTTCCTTGAAAAGCGCTATATAAATGCAATCCATTATTATTATTATTATTACAAAGCGCCTTGAGGGCACTGTAGTTGTGATTTGGTGCTGTATAAATAAAACTGAATTGAATTAAATGTCATAAATAAGTATGCAATACTGAATGGAATATCAGTGCGGTGGTCTATAATACAAGAATCATTTAGACTTTTAAAGTAAATAACAATCAATAGTAAATGTTTGACAAACACTTTAATTTCTGTCTCTAATTATAAGTAAAACTGGTAAAAATCCCTGTTTGTGAGCATCTTTTCAGTGGTAGCATATGTTGACAATGGTCTCACTGGTTGGATCCCAATCCTCCAAAACAAGGCTAATCACTGCATTCATTATTTTATGAAACAATGGCACCACGCCGATGCCAATATGGCATCAGCTTCTCGGTTTAATTTGCATTGTCTATAGCTCATTCTTGGCTCTGACTTGTAAATGGCTGGCTTGATTCACTCATTCAACAATTGCTTCAGTGGATTGTGTTAAACTCAGCCATTAGTTGTAGCAGAATGACAAGTTTCTCAAAACCAAAGGAAAGGTAAACTGCACTTTAATATTGTCTGGGTCGAAAAAACAGAAAATGATTCATTTTACTACTGTGCAGCAAAGCGCCACTTGCATTTACTTCTAGTCAATACCTGATAAATAAAGGCGGAACACCAGTCAAGTATTCAGGTGTAAATCAGTTCAAATTAAAGGGTAAATGTCTTTTAAATATAAATTTTGTGACATTGTACATGTCCTTGTTGTTCCCCTTTACATACCATAAATGATCAAAACTATAGTGTGGCAGAAGGCAGCAGATGATGTTGAACGGTACATGGTAAATCAATAAAATGATCAATGAGCAGCAGTAATTCAGTTTGAAATGTCAATAACAGATGATGTGATGAGTGTGAAAGCAGCAGAAGAGTTTTGTTCTAAAGTGCATAATTTAATTTAAAAAAAGATCTGTATAAATTCAGTGTGAAAAAACTCCGATTAAATTCAGATTAAAAATGTTTGTGAATCAGATGCTGAAAATAGTAATTTTACAAATTTGACATATCAGGAGAATCACTTACGCTGGGTTCAGACTAGAGAATACTCGTTTTTTATTTTGAAAAATCGTTGCTTTTCATGACTGAAACAGACTAAACATTGTTTCCGGATCATGAATGCTACCTTACTTTCAAGGCGTGCGTAATGGAAGGAAGTGCTGATAGCTGTATGTCTTGAGTAATGGTGTGTGTCCACAGGAGCTACCCATTCTGCTAATTAATGACTTGTGGAGCTAGCTGTGCAAAGCTGAAAACTAGCTGTGGACTATCTAAATGAATACATATTTACTCCTCCCCTCAAATGTTTTCAGGAAAATGTATGTATTTTTTCGAGGTTTTAACCTCTCTATTTGGTATGGTCTCATCATTCCCAGTGGCCAGAACAAAGTTTATCTTTTATTCTGATGTGGTCAGAACAAAATCAAAAAGTCTGAACCCAGCGTAACTGTTCACAGAAGTGATGCTTGAGTTCACACTGAGAAGATTCCTGCTAAATTACATTTCATGTCTACACACAGCTATGTTTGGTCAGATTGGTGGTATTCCTAATTGTTCAGGATTATCTCAGTTGGGATATCAAAGAAGCCAGTCCTACAATCCAGAAATGAGTTAGTATTTGTGCACTTCCAATTCCCTTGTCGCAGTCAGCAGGATTTTTAAATGGGACTGTGGTTGATATGAACTTCAGAGATTTTTATGTTTTGTTCTATAACATCAAGTACATAAGTAAATATTCATTTCATAAATTTTGAAGGTTTTACTTTAAGTCTTTGAAGCCTATGGACCTCATTATGCCCACCAAAATGTGTAAGTATCCAAAACTTTTATTTCCCACAGAGCTTATTTAATAGTCTAACTCAAAAATCAAAATCTGTTTTGCTTTTTAGCAAAGGAATCAGGGTGACGCTACAAAAAGCCTACAAAAACCCATCATCCCCGTGGCACTTTATTGTAGAAAATCACCATTTTGGCACAAAAAACTACCATTTGTTTGAATCCTATCAACCAGATTCTGTGAAAACTGTGAGAATGTCATTTGGAACAAATCTTGCAGAAACACAGTCATGGTTAAGGCTCAGAAACAGTGGCTGGGAAACAGCAGAAGGATGATGAGCAGAAAGCAGATTGAATGAAGTCGACTGATGATTTTTTTATTGTCATCTGTTCGTACTAAGAGCCGGTCAACCCAGAGTGAGAGAGAGAGACTGCTCACAGAGAACTCAAGAGCTCATCTTTTTGATGTGTAAAGTTGATTATACAATATGCTCAGCATTCAATGGGTTTAACACAACTGTGTTGCTAAGCAACTGATGACAAAAACTCAACCCTTTATATTTTTTAAAAAAAAATGTTGATTTGGTGCTTCCTGCATCTACAGCAGGGAGCAGAGGTAAATACATACCACCTTCTCTATGCAAGCTGCATTTCAAAGTGACTTATTGATCCATCGATTGATTGAGTCGGATCATACACACAGATTATTTTCAGGGATTAAATAGATTCAAAACTCAAAGGGAAAAAAATATCACATTCCACATGGTGCAGTCTTTGTTCTTCTAGTTCGTCTGCCTTTCTCTGACTCTGGGTTGGCCGTAAATTGCTGACATGAAGCAGAGAGAATGAGAACAAGATGTTCTTTCACTGAACATCTGATAAAAACATGGACTGAGTTCATTCATGTATGAAACAAAGAAAAAGGAAAAACGTGACTTTATGCTGCTGTCAGGTATAATTAAAACTCACCAACTCCACCTCAGGTTATATTTTTCAGCTCAATTTCTGTTTTGTTTTCCTCTTCTGTGGACAAAAGCCATGTTTTTCAATTCACCTTAAATGGCTCTAAACCAGCAACTCATCTGTTATCAAATGTAACATTTATATGGGAAAAAATTCATTAAAATTTTACATGTCAGGTTGGGCTCATTTGTTCAAGAGTATTGCTTGTTTTCCTATTTATGTATTTATGTATTCTTTACTCCAATCAGCCTCACAGCTGTAGCCCTGCTGTCCTACAGTAGTGACACCATCTTGCAGTTCAAACAGCACACGTCACTTGGGTCTCTTTCAGTGATACTCCTTGTGCCTGGGGACCCAGCTCTCCTATGGGAATTACACAAAACACATCTGGGACTCTGCTCTCTAGCAACAGTAATCTCACTGTAATACAGAAGTGATAAAACCTCACATCTGGGACCCAGATCACTGGGGGAGGGAATATTTTGATTTCTATCACAAAATTAGGCAGTGATGCTCCTTATGGATCGTCAGCAAACTGCCATATCTGATAAATAAACATGAATGAGGTTCATCGAAGTGTTTATCTTAAAGCAGCGTTTTACCTGACAGCAGCAAAGCTCAAAGACTGCTCGACAGACACAGAATGAGATTCATTAGGATGTTACTTTAGATGTCAGGATTCTGGTGAATGTAGAAGCAAAGACGGGCAGGTAGGCAGTCAGACGGGCATAACAAATGACAACAGACAGCAAAAAGGCCGACAGGGCAGCATCAGGCAGACAAACACAGATACTGACAAAGACAAACAAAAAGAGAGAGACAAGACAGACAAAAAGACAGATTAAGAGACAGACAGACACACAGACACACACAGACAGACAGTAAACAAGTCTAAAAGTCTAAAAAGCTGTTCTCTGGGGTTAGACTAGTTTTCATGTTCCAATCATGAATACCAATTTTGACATTTAATTTTCATGTCTAAACACCTGGATCTGCTCTGTGAATGCCAGCCAGTCATCAGGTTTCTGCAAAAACAGCATCCAGGTTGATGAGTTTGAAACAGCACTCTGTGCTGTGCAGAGGTCATTTTGTCCCCAAGTCTCCTCAGTCTCAGTTCCTAAGAGTAAACTATAAAGTAATTCCACTGATTATATAACACCAATATAGCCATTTATTTTTATTTCCCTCTTCTGTAAAACTTCTACTTAGCCATACTTCAGAGTCAAACATTGACATTTCAGTCCCACTATGTGTATCACAAGCTTGTAAAATTAATACATTACGAAGATTGAAGCAGAAGCTCCCAAGCTTTTAAGCTTGTGACCCAAAGACAATAACATAAGATATATGAAAGTTGTTCCATGAAGAAGCTATTCTTCTGCTTGCATTGTTTCATTTAAATAGCCATGCGACGTTCAAAGAGGATAAATTATCCAGTGATTCACAACACAAGCAGAAGGTAAAAGTTCTTTACTCTCCAATTAATCATTTCACAATCCCTCAGATTAATCTTGTGACCCTCTAAGCAGGGCTGAACTCTTGATAAGTAGCTCACTTTATACAAACTAATTAAAAGTAGCTCCAAACTGAGAAACTGTCACAGAAAAATCTATTGTGCTTATAGCCAGTCAGCAAACTATAAATAGATCCTTTAGTGGACATCTTCCAAGTTCTTCCACCTCTGATACACTTAGTGGGTTTTGCTTATAATTCTATAAGACTTTGACAAAATTGTCTATTATTGTGACAATCAGACAAAAGCAGCCCTGCTAACTAAATTATTTTAGCTATAAAACAAAACTTTAATGCAAACTTCAGCTTTCCTGCCCTTTTTATTTTTCCCAGAGGAACTAGACATGCCGGCATCCACACACCAGAGAGCGCTGGAAAGACTGGCTCAAAGTTTTTAATAGTTGTAATTTGTATTTACTACATTCCAATATTATGAGACCATGATATATAATGTTTTTAAAAATACACCCCAGTGTGATACGTTTGCATGCAGTGACCTAATTTCCCCACAAAAAAAGCAGACAGAACAAGACACCGACATTAGTCCCGCACAGACTATCCTCTATCTGGAGATTCAGAGTCTACCTGAGGGGGGATCCTTTAGGCGTGGCCACTCCATAGCCTTTAGAGTCCAGGTTGCCTCCTACTTTCATGGTGTCACAGGGCTTCCTCTGCTCGATGTACTCATTCATGGAGGACTCCAGCAGGTAAGCATATTTCCCTTTTGACTTTCTGACCCGTATCATGCCTTCACTAGTGCTCTTGACGAAGACCGATGGGTCTGCACTCCGCATGTACGACCACATCTTCTCGAACACTGCAATCTTTGACCGCTGGTGGAGGAGCAGAGAATATCTATGTGTTATTGTGCTTGTAGAAAAACATTCCTTCTCAGACTGCTGCCTTGACTACAACGTCTGCACTTCTAGAAATGTGCCCCCACCCTGAAGAATTCTTTAGTGGAGCCTCCATCCAAGGTACCATAGGCAATCTCTGTTTGCTTGGCCAGGTCCTCTGCACTCTCTATGGGGGACACCATCCTCTCTACAGTGAGGAAGGCTGCCAGGTTGGCTGTGTAGGAAGAGATGATGATGAGGGTGAAAAACCACCAAACTCCTCCGACAATTCGACCTGAGAGAGACCTGGAGAAGACAAGAAGGGGAAGAAGAGCAAGGAAGATAAATTTTCCATTTCAGGCACAGCAGGCAGGGTTAAAGGGGTGTACTGGGGATATTTCAGCGTCCTTCCCATTTTCTTCAATTATATTCACTGTGACTGAACCAGGAACAAAGCCGACTATTCATTGAATTTTCAGAAAATGCAATAATAAGTGATTCTGCTTCCACCTCACTCTGTTTTCCAAATCTGTTATAACAAATTATTTTAGTTATGTAGATGATACACAAATGGTGTCTCCTAATAACATTATCAATAGCAATTGCTGGCACGTCTCTGCGCAGAAAAAAATCTGCGTTGCGCACAAAAAATTCACATTCGTATATACGCAGCTGATCAACGTCATTGACAGGCTATGACAGCGTCCTTATGTGCCGACGCCGGTGTTTTAGCGAGCAAAGCGGCTGATGTGGAGTGAAGCCACGTTAATGACAACGTGTACAACCATTGGAGACGTGAGCAGGACAGACGGAACAACTGATGGAAAAAGTGTGGACTTTATAGCAGTTTTTAAATTGTGTTGATCGGCCACGTAAAACCAGAGTTATGATAAAATATCTGCAATGTTTGTTTTTCTTCCTGAATACTATCGTTGTTTATATTTACTACGGGAAGAAACGGTAAAAACGGCGTTTTATAAGGAAAACGCTCGAAAGCCCGTGAACAAAGACAACACCAAAAAAACCCCAGCCTTTCCTATTGGTCAAAAAATGTACCATGTGGACCAATCAAAAAATGATATGGCAACATTGCCTTTAGTTGTTTAGGAAGGGGGAAGTTTTAGGAGTGACGGCGGAGTTTTGAGATGTGAGAGATTTGCGATGTTTAGCGCAAATCTTGTGTAGTTAGTGTGTAGTTAGTGTGTAGTTAGTGTGTAGTGTAGTCAATAGTGTTGTTGTGTGTGTCAGAACAATGAGGCGCCTGCTGAGTGTTACAGGTGTTACAGCAGTGATACATCTGCTGCTGTCAGGCCTGCAGGTATCAGGCTGTTGTTCTCCTTCATCTCATAGTGGACAGAAATTATTTTTTGGATTTTTTTTGGAGTGGCACAAATAGTTTGTGTGGCATCAGATTTGATGCAGAACAGCTGATTGTTCTGCAAATAGTTTGAAATGTTTGTTTAAAAAAACGTCTTGGCTGCATTTTTAGGTAAACAGCTGCAAAAAACTTTGTTTGCAAAACTCAGTTACTTTTTTGAAGAAGTAACTATATAATTAATTGCCCAACATTGGTCATTAGTTACTGTATTTTCCAGACATAGTTACAGACACTACAGTTGTGTTTTCAAAATTGGAGTTCAAGTTATTTTTACTTCCAATAGTGTTAACATGCTACACAGGTCATGAACAAGATTTTTTTAAATTGTCATTGTAAGTGGGCTAAAGCAGTTAATTAAAAGCAGTCTAACATAAATGCTGTAATTTGATTATTTTAATGAACCATGTAACTTGGATGGATTGGATGCTGGCGTGACCACAGTGCACACGTCTGCTGTCGCTCACAGTGGTCCAAGGGACGCTCAGGGAGTTTGTGTGTTCGCTCAGACACATGAAACATTAGAGAGAACAACATTGGTTGTAGCTAAACAAAAAAAAAGACCATATGGCATAAAAGCTCTTGTCCCAATCCTTTACCGAACCAGACCAAGTTAAAAACACAAAATAAATTGCACTTTAATATATTCTGAACCTTTCAAATCCCAAAGGTAAAGATCAGTTCAATCATTAGCGGATGATAGTTGATGCTTGTCTGATGCATTTAGCAGAAAAATTAAGCCAGACTCTTTCTCATCAGCCTGTGTACACAAAAGCCTGTTTACATGTGATTGTTCCTGCAAACCATACATGCTTCTGGTGAGAATGGCCATCATTTTTTAAAGTTATTAAAGTATAGAAAACAGAGTTTATGTAGCTATTTCTTGTCAGAAACATATATTTTCTCTAGTTTTTACCAGGGCCTGGTGGCTACATTACATTACTACATTACAAGCCATCTGCAGAATGCAATTCATCAAAACTGAAGAACATGCTCCTAGATGTTTTGATAAAACATGTATAAAACAAATATGAGAAAGCTCCCAGTAAATATTTAATAGCATAATAATTAATAATAATTAATAGCAATTATAATCATATACAGAATGTACTATAGAGTCTGGGATTAGGAAACTTGTAGTTACTACAAAGACCCAGTCACTTTTAAGTAATCCACCTACTGAATATTGACATTTTTCCAATATTTGGGAGTGCATTTTAGTCTTTTTTGTTGTTGTTTATTTTATTTATCTCTCTAGTGTTATGTAACACCCATACTAGTACCCGGTTGATCTACTTTTGGCTTTTTGGCCACAGTGATTTGGGTCCATATTGACATGATACCATCACACAGCTGCAGTAGATTTGTAGGCTGGACATCCATGATACAATTCTCATGTTCTCATGAATTGAGCTCTACTGCCTCTGGGGTCCTTTTGAAATGAATTTGCTGTTTTCAAGAACCTAGTTTGAGTTTGAGACCCTGCCATCCTCAAAGTTACTTAGAAAACCTTCCATCCTCATTCTGTACAGTTTGAACTTCAGCAGGCTGTTTTGACCATGTCTACATATCTAAATGCACCCAGTTGCTCTCATGTGACTGGCTGATTAGACATTTGTGTTAACGAGCTGGTGAGTGTGTTTATGCATGTTTATGCATTCTCAATCACGACAGTTAAAACGGTCTCTGCACAAACTTTTTCTTCTTTAACCAATAGTATGTACCTCTAGAAAATTGGAAACAAACCCCTGGAGCATAAGTGCCACCAGATGGAATGCCTGTTCTAATTTATCTGTCCATGTGTTTTATATTTATAAAGCTTCTTTCAAATAGTATCTGTCTCTGCATATTCATGACTCATAGCTGGGATCAAAAGTCAACATTTAAGAGCTGTGTGTAAAACATAACTTGACTGTCAGAGTTAAACAGATGCTGACATGCAAACAAATACTCTAGCTTCAACACTTGCATCACAGATGACAGTCTGGCATAAAAATGCAGGTCAGATGTTTTCTCTCTCTGTGTAACTCTGGCATGCATCACCTTAATGAAACAGACATGAAAAAGAGGAGGGAAGAGGTTCACACATTTCAGTTCATAAGCTGAGTCAACAATAGTGAATCAGTGGCAATCTGAGACCTGGAGATATTTGCATGGGTCAGATGACAAAAACTAACTCATGCTGACAACACAAGCAGAAGGTTCAAAGGCATGTGGACCAGGACCGCAGGCCTGCTTACTCCTTGAGAAGTAAGCAGTACCTGGCCCATTGTTGCAACCGTACTAAGAGCTACATCATCATTAGGTTTGTGCCAGGGTTTTCCTTTAATATTAATTCTGTCCATTATTTTTTGGGACAGTCATAGCCAGGAGGACGGATCCTTAGAGTCACCTATCTATTTTTTGCAGATGATGTGGTTCTGTTGGTGTCATCTGGTGGTGATCTGCAGCTCACGCTGGCACAGGTGAGCAGAGTGTAGAGCAGCAGGAATGAGAATTAGCTTCTCCAGTGTCTACTCGAGATCAAGGATCAGTTTCAGAACAAATCAGTTTAAGCACCTCAGAAAATTGTTCATGAATGAGGGGAGAGAGGAACGGGTGACTGAGAGATGCCTTTCTGTTGTGGTAAAGAGCAAGCTGATTGTAAAAGCAAAGTTGTTGATTTACCGGTCAGTCTACATTCCCACCCTCACCAATAGTCACAGACTGAGACTTAATATTCAAAATAATACTGCATATACAGGGAGTGCAGAATTATTAGGCAAATGAGTATTTTGTCCACATCATCCTCTTCATGCATGTTGTCTTACTCCAAGCTGTATAGGCTCGAAAGCCTACTACCAATTAAGCATATTAGGTGATGTGCATCGCTGTAATGAGAAGGGGTGTGGTCTAATGACATCAACACCCTATATCAGGTGTGCATAATTATTAGGCAACGTCCTTTCCTTTGGCAAAATGGGTCAAAAGAAGGACTTGACAGGCTCAGAAAAGTCAAAAATAGTGAGATATCTTGCAGAGGGATGCAGCAGTCTCAAAATTGCAAAGCTTCTGAAGCGTGATCATCGAACAATCAAGCATTTCATTCAAAATAGTCAACAGGGTCGCAAGAAGCGTGTGGAAAAACCAAGGCGCAAAATAACTGCCCATGAACTGAGAAAAGTCAAGCGTGCAGCTGCCAAGATGCCACTTGCCACCAGTTTGGCCATATTTCAGAGCTGCAACATCACTGGAGTGCCCAAAAGCACAAGGTGTGCAATACTCAGAGACATGACCAAGGTAAGAAAGGCTGAAAGACGACCACCACTGAACAAGACACACAAGCTGAAACGTCAAGACTGGGCCAAGAAATATCTCAAGACTGGTTTTTCTAAGGTTTTATGGACTGATGAAATGAGAGTGAGTCTTGATGAGCCAGATGGATGGGCCCGTGGCTGGATTGGTAAAGGGCAGAGAGCTCCAGCCCGACTCAGACGCCAGCAAGGTGGAGGTGGAGTACTGGTTTGGGCTGGTATCATCAAAGATGAGCTTGTGGGGCCTTTTCGGGTTGAGGATGGAGTCAAGCTCAACTCCCAGTCCTACTGCCAGTTTCTGGAAGACACCTTCTTCAAGCAGTGGTACAGGAAGAAGTCTGCATCCTTCAAGAAAAACATGATTTTCATGCAGGACAATGCTCCATCACACGCGTCCAAGTACTCCACAGCGTGGCTGGCAAGAAAGGGTATAAAAGAAGAAAAACTAATGATATGGCCTCCTTGTTCACCTGATCTGAACCCCATTGAGAACCTGTGGTCCATCATCAAATGTGAGATTTACAAGGAGGGAAAACAGTACACCTCTCTGAACCGTGTCTGGGAGGCTGTGGTTGCTGCTGCACGCAATGTTGATGGTGAACAGATCAAAACACTGACAGAATCCATGGATGGCAGGCTTTTGAGTGTCCTTGCAAAGAAAGGTGGCTATATTGGTCGCTGATTTGTTTTTGTTTTGTTTTTGAATGTCAGAAATGTATATTTGTGAATGTGGAGATGTTATATTGGTTTCACTGGTAAAAATAAATAATTGAAATGGGTATATATTTGTTTGTTGTTAAGTTGCCTAATAATTATGCACAGTAATAGTCACCTGCACACACAGATATCCCCCTAAAATAGCTAAAGCTAAAAACAAACTAAAAACTACTTCCACAAACATTCAGCTTTGATATTAATGAGTTTTTTGGGTTCATTGAGAACATGGTTGTTGTTCAATAATAAAATTATTCCTCAAAAATACAACTTGCCTAATAATTCTGCACTCCCTGTACAAGCAGAAGTTAGCTTTCTCTCTCCCATGGAGATGAGGAGCTTGGCTATTTGGGAAGTCGTTAGAGAAGGGCTACCAGTCCTCTACATCAACAGGAGTCCGTTCAAGTGGTTTGAGCATCTGCTTGGAAATCTCCATTGGGAAGAGGCCCCTGTGCAAACCAAAATTATATCTCTCAACTTCTTAGGGAATTAAAGGTCTTGGCATGTTTGCTTAGACTGCTGCCTCCACAATCCATAGAATCCAATCCAAGAAGCAAAAGATGGGCGGATGAAACATGACCAAATGTAATATGAACAACAGAAGGAGAAAGCTATTCCTTAAATTTATTTTGAGAAATGTCAGCAACTATTTTAAAGCATCAGGTATGACTGGCGATTTAAGATTCCCATGACCACTAAAATGAGTGTTATGACTCTCTAACCATTCATTTAGACAGAGGCTTGAATTAAGTAAGGCAAAATAACTCATTAGGGGCGCTGTTAAGGTGATTGTCAACCACAGGATTTCATTGGCAGTCTGGATCCAGAACAGAACTGGTCCTAGAACAGCACAATTACCCACACATATACTGGTACGTAGCCCTGAATTGCCTACCCCCAACAGGGAACTAATCCCCACCCAGGATTACTCCAAAAATAAGAAAGGCAAAATAATAAAAGAGTGCCCAACGGAAAAACTTAAAAAGCTCAGCTGGACACTCACCTAACTTAACTGGGAAGTTGTAGTTCTCAAATAGGTGACAAAGCAAGATAATCAAATCCAACTTGAAGCTCCCTTTTCAAATATCCCGGGGCTCGGTCACTCAGGCGCAGCTGGCTGCCGGCGGAGCTCACGGGCGCGTCACTGCAACTCCCCCTGGCTTCTGCTCCGCGGCTGCTGAGTGAGCCCTCATCTGGGACTCTCCTCAGCTCTTTCCGGGACAGTGGCGCAGCTGCCCCTCTGTTGGTCTTCCTTGGTCTCTTGTGTTCTGGGGGCCTCTGGATGTCTGGAGTTTTGATCTCCTCCACACCTGCTTCACGCCCTGGAGGACGGGCCCCCCCACACCCTCTAGCAGATCATTACATGAAGGAACCTTTTAAAAACAAGCGCGTCCATGCTCACAGGTGTACACACGGGTGATCACACCCACAAACTACACCCTTTTTGGCTCCTACCTCAAAGCACACTGTGTTCTGTTGATCTTATGTGCTGCACAATAATGTTTAACATTTAGTATTTACTGTCATATTCCCATATATCATTGTGATGTTGTTTATTCTATTACTCTTGTTCTCTTCTGCTTGCTTTCTTTTTTCTTTCTCAGCAGGTGATCCAGGTGATTGATATATGCATTTTTTTTCTCTGCCCGTTCTGTTGGTTTTTGTCTTTTGCCCTTCTCCCCCGTCCCTCTTCTCAGCTGTTTCTCTTTCCCTCTTTCTTTCTCCCCTTCTTTCCCCCAGTCAAGTCTGTCCCGTATTCAGTAAGTGAAAATAAAATAAACAATAAAAGGTGAATCAAATGGACCATTACGGCAAGGCTGGGATGGTCAGTTTGGTAAAGTAAATCCGTTGGGCATCTTTCTTTGCCTTTAGACAACAATTCTGATGGCAAAAGAGCCAAACGGGACAGGCCAAAAAAAAAAAAAAAAAAAAAAAAAAAAAAAAAGATCCCGGGCGAGCCCCCACTTGTTACGTTCCCCTAAAAGGGTCCAGGCAATGAGGGGGAAGTAACAAGAAGTGTCCAGGTCAGAAAAAGGAGTCAAGGAGGCAAAAGGGTTAAATTAAATAGTTTTATTAGAATTAGCTCAACTAAAGGAGACGGACAAGCCGCTATCACCATTTAAGGAAAACAAACAAAACTCAAGCGTTGGTCAATAAAGTAAAAAGTAAGTCAAAAAGAGAGAGCAGCTCACTAACTGCAAATACACCAAACGCACAACTCACTAGCTGCAAACACAGTAATGGCACTCTGGCCCAGAGCTCACCTTTTCCTGGGCTTAAATCTCCTTGATTACTGACAAGAGTCAGCTGCACAAAAGGGAAAGGTGGCACCTCAGGCAGAAGAGGTGGTGGGACACGCCCACACAGGCACTTTCAGGAGGAGGCCCTGCTAGGGCCGTAACATTATGGTATTATTAACGGACATCCAGTGAGAAAGGTCCAGCCCTCTCATAGGTCCATGTACACAGCAAGACATGCTAAAGGTAATGCCAAGAAGAATCGTCACAACTGTAAAAGTCTGATTGAGGCAAAAGTGCGACTATAACTGCCTTCTTATACAACATGTATAAGATGTTATCTGTATGCAACATACAGATAACATCTCATGAAATCTGGCTTAGGGATCATGAGGAAGACAATCACTGTAATGGTTCAAAATACACACACAGTGACACACTTACATACATATGAGGACACGCACAAGCGCACAGACTGTAGCAGATCCAAAATAGAAAGAGCCTCAGGCCTTAATGCAGCGGTAACATACAACAAACCCGGCAGCATGTCACACAGAATCGGCCGCATTTCATGATACATGTGTGCATCAATAATGCAGCTGAGAGTGTATTATAAAGCTGCGTGTGTGTTCTCGTGTTTGCGAGGTCCTCTGTAACAGCACTCATACAGATTTCACAGAACGTCTTTGTTTGGTTCGTTTCAATTTTTAATTCTTAAAAACGTTGCACTCTCCACTGACACCAGAAAAATAGTAAAGTTGCTCCAGTAAAACAGACACAAACTGCTCCCGTGTGGGATACCTAATTAATAAGTGAAATTAAAATTACAGTGATCATTGAGACCTTTTGGCTGATCATAAAATAAAGTAAAACAAAAATAAAATAAATGTGTAATACAGAAGTTAAGAAAAATGAATTACAGGAACCGTTTCGAACATTTTGGTTTACAATAAAATTGCATCATTGCATCACAAAATGGCAAAACCCCAATATTTCACAAAAGCATGTAAGGCGCTAGAAGATAAGTAATTACCTGGGAGAGATGTCACAGCCCTGCTGCATAAACGCTCCGAGTGAGAACCACAGAGAATTAAAGATGCCAAAGTCATTGGTGCATTCTGGGGTCTCCTTTTCCTTCTGCTGGTTCTGGTTCTGCCCCTGAGCCTGGGAGAACCCTAACAGAGGAAACAATCAAAAATATAAAAGATGAAGGTTCGGTTTCTGTTGTTACAAGAATAAACGTAAAAAAAAAAAGACATATATGCTGAGATACCTGGAGAGTGGGTATGTTCTGCGGATGAAGAGGCCTGAGCTCTTCGAGAAGAAGAGGGAGCAGTTTCATCTTCATCATCAGACTCCTCACCGTTCCATTCGTAAGGACTGAACCGACTCACCTGTTTAAGATAAAAAACAAAACAAAAAAAAACAAGGATCCTCAGTTTAACAGTAAACTTAAAGAATTAGATGTCACTTACTCTTCTAGTCCTAACAGCCTTTGGAGTCATTTCTACAGTATGTGAAGCAATCAAAAATCATTTTAATGTCACTGACTAGGCTTGCACCAGCTCCGTCCACCCATCCATCCATCCATCCGTCTTTCACAAAGTATCATGTTAGCTAACATTAGTTAAAAGAAAGCTTTCTTTATCCAGTCTGCCCAGTCTCACCAGGAAGAGCACCACGCTGACCCCGATGTAGGCAAAGACGATGCACATCCAGATCTCGTAGGCCAGCGGGTCGAGGAAAGAGAAGACGCCTGGTTTGGACTTGGTAGGTTTCTTGATCATGATGGAGATTCCCAGAGACATGAAGGGTTTTGTGAAGTCGATCACCTGCTCTCGCACCAGAGTGATGGTCAGCGGGGCCACTGCCATGTCCGCCTTCTGCAGGAGGAGAGACACAAAACCCTTTGCTAAAAGAAAAGCATCTGTATGTATGGAAGCACATTATCATATGTCCACAACAGATATCCAAATTTGCAGTTTTTCTCGATTGCTTAAACACATTTCTTGAAACTATGCCTCGTATTCCCAAAACAGTAAAAACAAATCCATAACGTCTCACCCAATTTCCCAAACGTATTTTCAGGTCAAAATGAAGCTCTACACTTAAAACCAAAAACCATAATGTTTAATGTGATATTATGGTTTTTGGCGCAAGAGCCACAATGTCACATTAAACTTAACTCCGAGGCGCTCATAACATAATTTGGTTTTCTGTGTGAATTAATTTGCCAATTGTGGATTGTGGGTTCAAGGTGTTATGGTGAGAAAGTATATTCTATTTTCGCTTAAGGTTTCTGTGACATAATTATAACAGACTTTTTGTAATTATTAGGTGCATGCATACTCACACAGGCCACCTTATTAATACAACTGTGAAATCCAAAATCTGCCATAGGTTTAACTTATACCTGTATATATTGTCAGAAAGGTGATTACTGGACTCGCATTAATGCACACTTGAAGAAAAATGAGGTTGTAACCTGTGTGTTGTGGGGTTGCAAATTCAAAACAAACATCTTAGGATCTTTTTAATCCCATAAGATCTGGAAACACAGGTTTTATTTAACAAAAAAATTACTGATTAACCATTAACAGTGCCTGCTGTTATTTTAAAATAATTTTATGTGATTTCAGATAAAATGCAGCATTCAAGTCCATCCCAGCCATGCCTTTATAGTCAAGGTTTCTGCTTGAGTTTCTCTCTGAAAGTCTGCTGAAAGTGTTTGCAAAGTGATCGGGGGAGCAGGGCACAAAGCTAAAGGATGTAGCTGCCATGATGACATTAAGAACTTCAAAATTCTTTAACTACAAAGTGTATATGTATTGCATTAGGTCAGTAAAAGATTTTTATGCTGCATCCATTAAAACAGTCAACTATTACCTGTGAGTACAGATTCCACTGAAGGGATGCCATAATTTTCATCATGCATTTACTGGCCTACTGTGAGAAATTGATCATATATATATATATATATATATATATATATCCACACCCAGCACGCCCCTGCGGGCGGTTTATCCTTCAAGCTCGGGTCCTCTGGGAGCTTGAGGGTCCTGCGCAGTATCTTAGCTGTTCCCAGGACTGCGCTCTTCTGGACAGAGATCTCCGATGTTGTTCCCGGGATCTGCTGGAGCCACTCGCCTAGCTTGGGAGTCACCGCACCTAGTGCTCCGATTACCACGGGGACCACCGTTACCTTCACCCTCCACATCCTCTCGAGCTCTTCTCTGAGCCCTTGGTATTTCTCCAGCTTCTCGTGTTCCTTCTTCCTGATGTTGCTGTCATTCGGAACCGCTACATCGATCACTACGGCCATCTTCTTCTGTTTGTCTACCACCACTATGTCCGGTTGGTTAGCCACCACCATTTTGTCCGTCTGTATCTGGAAGTCCCACAGGATCTTAGCTTGGTCATTCTCCACCACCCTTGGGGGCATCTCCCATTTTGACCTCGGGACTTCCAGGTTATACTCGGCACAGATGTTCCTGTACACTATGCCGGCCACTTGGTTATAGCGTTCCTTTTATGCCCTGCCTGCTAGCATCTCACACCCTGCTGTTATGTGCTGGATTGTCTCTGGGGCATCTTTACACAGCCTGCACCTGGGGTCTTGCCTGGTGTGATAGACCCCAGCCTCTATGGATCTTGTACTCAGAGCTTGTTCTTGTGCTGCCATGATTAGTGCCTCTGTGCTGTCTTTCAGTCCAGCTTTGTCCAGCCACTGGTAGGATTTCTGGATATATATATATATATATACAAGCTCTGAGCACAAGATCCATAGAGGCTGGGGTCTATCACACCAGGCAAGACCCCAGGTGCAGGCTGTGTAAAGATGCCCCAGAGACAATCCAGCACATAACAGCAGGGTGCAAGATGCTAGCAGGCAAGGCATACATGGAACGCCATAACCAAGTGGCCGGCATAGTGTACAGGAACATCTGTGCCGAGTATAACCTGGAAGTCCCGAGGTCAAAATGGGAGATGCCCCCAAGGGTGGTGGAGAATGACCGAGCTAAGATCCTGTGGGACTTCCAGATACAGACGGACAAAATGGTGGTGGCTAACCAACCGGACATAGTGGTGGTAGACAAACAGAAGAAGACGGCCGTAGTGATCGATGTAGCGGTTCCGAATGACAGCAATATCAGGAAGAAGGAACACGAGAAGCTGGAGAAATACCAAGGGCTCAGAGAAGAGCTCGAGAGGATGTGGAGGGTGAAGGTAACGGTGGTCCCCGTGGTAATCGGAGCACTAGGTGCGGTGACTCCCAAGCTAGGGAGTGGCTCCAGCAGATCCCGGGAACAACATCGGAGATCTCTGTCCAGAAGAGCGCAGTCCTGGGAACAGCTAAGATACTGCGCAGGACCCTCAAGCTCCCAGGCCTCTGGTAGAGGACCCGAGCTTGAAGGATAAACCGCCCGCAGGGGCGTGCTGGGTGTTTTATATATATATATATACATTTTTTTTTGAAAGGTTACTGGTGGATGCCAGCAACTATCTTGGAAGAGAACAATACAATCTGTTATAAGGCCTCCATTTGAAAATAGCGGATTTGATACTAGAATATAATAGCAACATGTAATCTGAAGATAACATGTAGTATTTAAGTGACCAAGTAATATTGGGGTAAAAGTTACTGAATGGTGTTGGGATAAAGTGAGAAAATTGTGCAGGATTAAAATATTCTAAGAGCTCAAATTACTTCATCAAAACATGTTTAAGTCACATTTTATCAACACAAATTGCACAGGTTTATTGAACATGAATAAAGTGTGTTAATTTAACTCAATTGTTTAAGTTGCTGCCAAAGCAAAACATCTGCGTGCAATCAATGTCCACTACTGAATCAAATTAATCCAACATATTTTTTTCAGTGTGCTGAGTCTCCAGCAAAAGACACTGTCTGAAGCTGCATAGTACTGGGGGGCATCTGGGCTTATGGCATTGGCAGCTTGCACATTTGGAAAGGCACCATCAGTGCTGAAAGGTATAGAACAACATATGCTCAACATGATGATGTAATAAAAGCTGAGAGTTTTTAGCCAAATACAGAAACTGTTAAGATATTCAAAAATGTGCTGTTGGTTTGTTAAAAATAAGATAAAAATAAGGAAAAGAAACATTTTAACTGTGGAAATGAGCACTGCTCACACTCACCCCATACACCAGCTCTCCCACCATGCCATTCCACATCTTTGTTTCAGCGTCTCTGGCACCGTACTTGCCGTCACCTACTAGCTCAAGGCGGTACGTGAACCCGACGTGTTTGGCGATCTCTGCGGCGAGCTCGGCACAGTAACCTTCATATTTATCGTTTCCCCAAAACTGCTCGTGGTTCTTCTTTAGCATCATGTAGGGAGCTTCCTGTGAGGAGGCAGAAGTGTGAATGTCACTGCCACTCTACTCGAGTATGTTTAACTTAGATTATTTTACATTGTGCTTCTCTAGTAAAAAGTGCCTCTTCTTTTCTGAGGAAAATGAAAAAAACCCACAGCTGATAAGATGATATAAAGTCTGTGCAAACATCTTTACAGAGTGATGTTAAAGTTGAGTGTATGCTGACTGCAGTCAAGCAGCCAGAGCCTGAAGTTCAACAGGTAACAGGAGCAGTCAGAGATTTGTGACTGTGTGTGAGAACGTTGCCTAATTTGCACAAAATACTTTACTTTTTCCAAACATAACAAGTAATATATTACTGCACTGTGTGAAATATTTGAACTACCGGTAATCATCTTGCCTTCCCAAACTTACCAGGATGGTAGTGACGATGTAGGTTTTGTTCTGCACATTGTAAAACTCCTCCTGCATCGGCTTGTAGATGGCAGTGTTCACATAGCCTCTCTTCTCATTCCAGAAGCCGATCTGGACACAAAACAGCACCGTTGGACCACAACTCTGTACTTATGTCATCATTACTGAGCCTCCTGCTTACCTTCCTGCTTATTTAACGTATTTGCTATGCTGATTTTGTGATTAATAAAATGTTTTTCATTTACATGTTTATTATGACACTTCAATACACTGTGGCCCATTTCACCTGAGAAAGTTTAGTAAAGTGTGACAGCAGATGGTAGCATTAGTGTGATATCACCTTCATGTGTAAAACAGCAGCACGGATCGTTTCTTCTTTATTAAATAATATTCTTTTAATTAATTATGAATGCTATTTATTTATTTTATTTAATTAAATAAGCTTTTAATTAATTTAAATAAAAAATCTCTTTCATTGTCACTGCTGTGTTAACTGTACTTTGCAGCAGTCACGATAAATATGAAACATGAGCTAAAAGAACAGAGGGTTGAAATCTAAAAGAAATCCCAGGGAGAATTTTGTGTGTATGAGTTGGGAAAACAGACATTTGCATTTTTGCGTTTCCTTCCTCAACAAAAAATATGAGTCACATCTCTGAACTCACTTTTACATTTCATGTCTGCATTTTGCTCAAGTTTTACGGGCCTTTTGAGTCATTTTGTTTAATTATAATTTTGTTATATTATGACTATATTTATTTCTTTGCAACGCTTGTGTTGGTTTGTATCAGGTTTGAGTACTGTTTTTTGTAATTTTGCATCCATTTGCTGTTGTTTTGTGCAATTTGGTGTCTTTTGGGTGTTGTACACTATAAAGTTCCAGGAGCCTCCGGCAATTATTGGAAACATTTATGCATTGGTTTCTTCCATAGCGCCCATCAAACTTTAAAATATCCCACTCTGATGTCTTGTAAACCACAAAGTAAGCAGGACTAAGCAGCTCATCACAATGATAAGTCGTTGTGTGATGCACTGTTTGACGGAATTTAATAGAAAACTGAGAGTCGGCAGATTTCCGCAGCAAACAAACGCAGCAGAGGCTGATTTCACTGATTATCGCAGCTTTAATCTGAGGAGAGGGAGCTAATTACTGGAAGGAGCTGATGCAGTGAAAACCTGCTGAGTGCAATTCCACACAAAACCCGCCTGAACTGAACAAAACAACAAGCGGCGGGAGCAGCACCTTCCTGGGTCCAATGTGGCTGAGCTCCATCACAGTCAAAGTGTAGTTGGTTCGATGTCCGCGCTCATCGAACTGGACGTGACCCGTCAGCCCCTCCAGACGAACCTGTCAACACAAAGAAAAGCAAAGCAAAAATGAAAAACTGCAGGATTTCATAACCAGAAGAGCTCGGCAGCACTGATGGAGAGAGCCCGTTATTTCTGCTTTTAACACTTACATTGATTTTAAATTCCTCTGTGTTTAAAGTGCTTCACGCTCCGTTTGTCTGACATGTTTTTCGATCTACAGACTAGGACATTTCTGGGACATTTCAGGACAAAACTTTCATTTTTCATTTCCTCTGAGCTGCTGGAGCAGCCTGAGGATCTGAGAACAGCTCGGAGTTAATATTTACTTTCTCAGAGGACCTAAAAATATTGGTGTTTTTAAAGAGGGAGTATTCTCCTCATTCCAACCTCCATATTTCTATACGTGATTTACAGTTCAAAATAATCCTTATTTATCTCCCTTTAAACTAACTTTTCTGATTGGCTGTTTTTCACAAACACAAGCTTTGAAGAGCAGGTGGGTGGGGCTTCTGTGGCAGCTGCTCCCTCTGGACCCACTCTCAGTTCTGCCTGTGTGCTGTTTATGCATACCTGCTGCAGGGCTCTCTGGATATCGATGCCCTGTCCCACGGAGCGGGCGGGTTGGCCAGGCACTCCCCTGCGTTGCCCCGGCGAGAGATGTCGATCCGTTGCCTCCGCAGATTCTGGAATGCCGTTGCCATGACGCTGACACCATCATAGGTCAGAGCTCCTGTGTACTGAGTGGTCAGGCAGGAGGAAAGTGGTTAAAATCCTGATCCTGTTCACAGTTTTATTGGTGACACAATGAGACAAGATTTTGCTTTACATACACAGAAATGTGGTTTTTTTTGTACTTTCCTTAAATAGATTCAAAATAGAAGTAGAATAGAAGAAACAAGTGGGAATAAAAGCAATGGGGCAGATGGAAAAGTATCTGTGAATGATAGTTTGTATTTGTGTCACTGCTGCTTTAGCCTGAACAACGCCTGTTAATTCCTTTTGCTTCAGGAGAGTGACGATCTTGAAGTGCAGCTACAAATGACCATTTATCTGTCCTCTGGGAAGCAGGGAAAGCTGTGATGAGAGCTAAAATAATTTCTTTCTCATCACTTAAGAAGAAAGAAGAAAACAAAAATGTTCAGGAATTAGAAAAAAACATCAAATCCTTAGAAAAAGCCTATGTGTCCCACCAAGATCTAGAAATTTGAACAAAATACGCAAAACAAAACCAGAATGAAATGAAATTATTAATAAAAAGACTCAATTGTTAGTACAAAGACTTTGGTTCCAAAATTTTGAACATGGTAACAAATCCGGACAATTTCTAGCTAACCAGTTAAAAATCAATAAAGAAAAAACAACTATATGAGCTGTTAAAGATTTATCTGGGAATACAATATATGACCTTAAAAAAATTAAACAAAAATTTTAGGGATTTCTATGAAACTTTAAATACACCACAAATAACCCCATCTAAAAATGAAATTGATCAGTTTCTCGACAACGTAACTCTTCCAAAATTATGAGATACTCAAGCAATGGCACTGGATTCGCCACTGACACCAGGTGAACTCCAGGAAGCCCTGATAAGTATGCCCAATATAAGGCTCCAAGTCCAGACGGCTTTCCTGCAGAATTTTACAAAGAATTCTGGACGATTCTGGCACCAGTTTTTCACAGAATGTTGGAGGAAATCAAAGAAATTGGCAGACTACCACCAAATATGAACTCTGCAAATATTAGTCTCTTAGTAAAACCAGGCAAAGACCCTGTATTTCCTTCAAGCTATCGTCCAATATCCCTTATAAATGTAGACCTTAAAATAATCTGCAAAGCTCTCTCAAAGAAATTAGAGAAAATAACCCCCCTCTTAATTCATCCTGACCAAACTGGTTTCATAAAAGGTAGGCACTCATCAACAAACACATGTAGATTACTTAATTTAATAGACTACTCATGCAGTAAAAACATTGAAACCATAATATTGTCTCTTGATGCAGAAAAAGCATTTGACAGAGTTAACTGGAAATTTCTATTTGTAACTTTACACAAATTTGGTTTTGGAAACTCTTTCATAAGCTGGTTAAAAATATGATATAATTCCCCAACAGCTTGTGTCAGAACAAATGACCAAACATCCTCCAGCTTCTGTCTCCTGAGGGCACCAGGCAGGGATGCCCACTCTCCCCTTCACTGTTTGCAATTTTTATTGAGCCACTAGCAGCAGCAATTAGAAAGGCTACAACAAGTACGGGCATAAAATGTAAGAATGTAGAACATAAAATCAGTCTCTATGCTGATGATGTGTTACTTTTTCTCCAAAACTCACAAACCAATCTCTCTGGGGTAACTGCATTGATAAACTCTTTCTCAAGAGTCTCAGATTACTCAATTAACTGGTCAAAATCTACAGTTCTTCTGAGTATTTGCTCCTTCCATAATTCTTCATCTACCCGACTGCAATCTGGAAATATTAAATACTTAGGTATTAATATCTGTCTTAAACTTGCAGAATTAACTAAATTAAACTACATCCCACTTTTAAAGACAGTAGAAGGCGATCTGGCTAGATGGAAATCTCTACCCATGTCACTCATGGGAAGGGTCACCGCTATAAAAATGATGGTCTTGCCAAAAATAAAAGATTTTACAGCCCTATGCATTGCCAAGAAAACAGTCCTCATTAACTGGAAAAATAAAAATAATCTTAATTCTAGCAAATATAAAAACCCTCTGATAGATCACATTAGTCTTGAGACAGCCTCTGCCATCACATTTGATCAATCCCTCTGGGCTCCTTTGATCGGCTTCATCACCTAGTGGGGGTGGGGGTGGGGGGTCATAGTTTGGTCCTGCCTTCTCTAGTGTGGTTGATATGGGGGTAGGGAAGGCCTTAGGGCGTCTGGGGATTCTCTAGGGACGTTTTCCCAGGAGGCCTAACGCGGGGGTTGTGGCCATGACCTGGTTAGGGGCTCTGGTGGCGAGAGGGTCTGTGCTGGCGGACGTTGGTTACTGGCCTGGTAGCCTGGCTGCCCCAGGGTGGGTCCGGGATGGGCGTGGAGGCTTGAGGGTTTGGGGGTGCTCTGCCCCCGGGCTGGGGCTCTGGCTGGGCCTTGGGTCCTGGTTGTTGTGTCGCCAGGGTGGTGGGCGGGTGGGTGCATGGGGGCTCAGCCCCAGTGCGGGGACCTCTGGTGCATCTGCCCAACTGGAGGGCTCTCTAACTGGTGGGGAGGCTGTTACATCTTTGCAGGAGGTCTCCTCTCTACAGGAGCTCACTCTGCAGGTGGGGGAGAGATATTGGAGAGGTGGAGAATGACTCAACCTGAGTGTCTATTGTCTTGTGTAGTCTGGGAGAAGATTGGATGATGGGGTGGGTGCAGTTTTCTCTCTGGTGGGGTCGGGTGGGCTGCCCCGGACTCTGTGGGGCCGGGTGGTGCTGCTGCTGTGGGCCCCGGTCCGGATGGGCCTTGGCCCCCTTGCCCTGGTGGATTCCAGAGTGTGGGGGTGACTAGTGGGGTCAGTGGGAGAGCTGGCCCCAGAGAGGGGCCGCTTGCCCCTCCTTTTCTTCCCTCCCCATCCTCAGCTGCCTCACTCTGCCTCACTCTTCCCGCTCCACCACACCCACACACAGGCAGGGCTTGGGGTGCAGGTGTCTCACCAGGGTGCAGGGGAGGTACTCCCCTTCTGTCCCCTTCTGGCTGCCTGTGCCTCAATTTAATTCCGCAACCTAGACACCTAGACATTACTCATATTCTCATAACACATACATATAGGGCTTTGAGGGTGGGCACGTTATACAGTGTCCAGAGGATGGTCTTTGTATTCAAACCCACCTTTGGCGCTGGTGCCCTACCCTCAATTTTAAATGCATATAGACATTAAGGGTTTTCGGGAGGAGCCGTGCTGCTCTCTGGCTGGAAGCACCATGCCCTCCTGTGTTTTAAATGCACGTTAGAACAGCACGCAGCAACACTACATATGAGCGGGCGGAGGGAGGTATGGGGTCTTCACTCACCCCCGTTTTGTTAGCCGTCGGGGCTGGGGGGCTGGGTGGAGGTGCTCTGGGAGCAGGGGTATCTGGACCTGGGATTTAGAGTATGTTTGGGGAGTGTGAATGTGTGTACAGTGTCTATTTGTGTCTGTCTCCACATCGGGTGAGTGCAAAGTATTTGTTTGTGTATATGGGGGTGGGAATACACGTTTATGTCCGCGTGCACCTGTTGGTCTGTGTCTATATGTCAGCTTGGGTCTTAGACTCCACCTCGCTGGGAACATCTCAGGCTCTCCAAAGTACGGAGGTCTATCTCCCCTCACCACACTCCCCCTGCCAGTGGCTGATGCCCTCAGACGTTGGTGTGTTGGTGGTTCTTGGTGTCTGGGGCTGGGCACTCATGTATGTACTGACTCACTCCTGGTGGCCGATTGGCGGGACCTGGCGCCTGTGGCCCGGTAAGGCCCCTTCCGGGGGGTGGGGTGCCCTCAGGCCTCTGGGCCTGCTGGCTGCCAGCACAGCCCACGGGCACGTCACTGCAACCCCCTCTGGCCTCTGCTCTGTGGCTGCTGGTTGACCTTTCGTTTGAGGCTCTCCTCAGCTCTTCCCAGGAGGGTGGCACAGTTGCCCCCCTGGTGGTCCTCCTTGGGTCCTCGTACTCTGGGGCCTCTGGATGTCTGGGGCCTGGATCTCCTCCATACCTGCTTCATGCCCTGGGGGACGGGGCTATGACTCCCCAGACCCCCTAGCAGATCGTTACATGGAGAAACCTTTGGAATACAAGCGTGCTGATCCACACAGGTGTACACAGACACAAACTACACCTTTCTTGGCTGCTACCTCAAAGCACATTGTGCGCTGTCGATCTTGTGTGCTGCACAATAACATGTAATATTCAGTATCTACTGTTAGCTAGTTTATTGTGATGATGTTGTATTTATTATGTTGCTCTTTTTTGTTTGTTTTCTCTTCTGTTTTTTCTTATCTCCATACAGGTGATCCAGGTGTTTTTTCTTTCTTCCCCCTTTATCACCGTCTCCTCTCTCCTCCTCTATTTTTCTTTCTTTCTCTCCCTCTCTTTCTTTCATTCTTTCTCCCTGTCCAATCCCCCAGTCATGTCTGTCCCGTCTATAACAACCGAGAATCAAATAAAAGAAATACTTAAAATAAAGTATTTAATAAAAATAATGGACCAATATGGCAATGATGATCCAATCGGTAATGTAAATCCACTTGGCATCTTTCTTGGCCTTCAGACAACAATTCTGATGGCTAAAGATCCAAACAGGACAGGCAAAAAAACAAAACAAAAAAACCCAAACCCAAATGACCATTTATATCACACCTGTAAAAAAATGTCAGAACAACAATGTCAGGATCATTTATACTGGGAGGATACAATTCAGATTTCCTCACAAAGAAAAAGTATGAAAACACTGTGTGTGTGTGTGTGTGTGTGTGTGTGTGTGTGTGTGTGTGTGTGTGTACCTTGAGCCTCCTGCGAGCCACTTTGAGGTCTTTGTTGTCGAAGTCCAGCCAGTTCTGATTGATCTTCTGCACAGCGGGATCCGACCGATTCACCAGTTGGAAGCCGGTCACGTTCGGTCCGAGCTTCTGAAATTCTGTGACGTTCAGGTCCAAGAAGCCCTAACACACACACACACACACACACACACACACACACACACACACACACACACACACAAAGGAAAGCAACAGGTTTCACTGCCTGAACTTTCACTGCATCCCATAAAACCCTGTCTTCGGTATAGATAAACAATGACATGCACACTTTGGTGATGAAAAATGACATCATTGTCTGGAAGTTATTTGCACTACTCTGTGTTTCGAGTTTAGTTTAGTGTTAAAAGAAAGCCTGCATATTTCCAAATGTATTTGGAAATTTCTAGCTCTTTAAACTTATGAACTGAAATGCTGCAGTTTATTTGGAAACAGCTCCACATGCAGACAACAGCGAGCACTTTCACGTCTCTGGAAAGTTTGTGCAAACTGTTAAAGTCATCTGCATACGTCCTTAACCTCAGCCCTGTGTGTGGGGAAGCTGAGCCTGAACTCACCAGATTGGCAAGGATGTAGTGGTAGTTCTTCAAGTTCCTCTTCTGAGCAGCAATCTGAGCAGGAGCGAGAGGCACAGTAAATGATATGCTAATTACATTTTCCTGATGTTTCTAATGATGATAAAAAGCACCAATCACACATTCATCACAATCATCGCCATGTGTGTGTGTGTCCTCTCAAACAGCTGCTAATTGGAAGACTCGGCTGCTCTTTGAGGAATTAATTGCCCATCTTTGCCATCAGGAGGAGCTGGAAAGAAAGCAAGAAGCTCTCCTCAGATTCACGACTCCACTGACAGACGACAGGAAGGAAGGAAGATGGAGAGAAAGGAGAAAGTTTATGAAGAGGAGGAGCAGGTGTTGTTTGACGCCTTCCTCTCAGGTCCGGCTTTTAATGAGCGGCAGTCGAAGAGCGTTCGCGAACAGCTGCTCTGCATCACTGGGCACTTCTGGAGGAGGAAGGGAGGAGAACGCTGCTGAAGCGTCCCTCCTCTTAAACCTCCTCCTCTCCTTTTGCTTCCAGCCAACACTTCATTCCTCTGGTTTCTTTTGGTGTTCATTCACAGCAAACACATTCAGCTGATAATAATTTTCATATTGTGATCAAACACTTAACAGTTGTTATAATAAATGTGTACAAAACAGTGAAAGATGCACGTTGCAGTTTTACTCAGTCAAAGAATTGAATATCGAACAGCAACAGCAACACTGTCACCAAAACCTGCAGTTCATCTGATGGCCACAGTCCCCATAGTCTCACCTGTTTAAACTCTTGTACTAGAGTCCCTGACCTGGACCCGTGGACCATATCTGGAGCTTTTGTAATGCAGTTATCTAACACACCAGGTTTATCCTTGCTTTGCTTGGAACTTTGCTCTGATTAGCAGAAACATGCATCTGTTAACTGAGCAGGAGCTAACTTAGCCTTCTGTGTGAGCTGCTTTAGTTTAAATGATACGAGTGTTCAGAAAAATCCATCACTAGATGAGGAAAAAGGAGAAGAAAATATGACATTTTCCTGAGTTAGTAGGAGTGAAAAGTGCTTTTCTGCCTGTTTAGATTTATGGCCTCAGCTCAGAGTTTTTCTCGGTTGTAAAGAAGGTTAGCGTTGACTGCTCAGCTTTGTACTGGGAACACAACACATTACCACACCTGACCTGGACGCACATTAGTGAACACCTTCATAACTTCTTAGTATGAAGTTGAGATGATTTTTAACTGGTTTTTACTCAGGTATAACGATATAACATACAGGCTGTCTGGACTTAAAAAAATATTTTTCAGGAGTAACTTGTTTGTTCTCTCATGTCCAAAATGGTTTTGAATTATGTTATTGTAAAGTTCACATAATATGACCCTGTCTGTGTGCAGACAGCAGTACACTCTGCATGTTTTGTGCGACTGTGATACCAAAGATCTCCCTAAAGCTCGAGCACGAGTTACGGTCATTTACAGGGTGCTGGTGCAGTGGGCCCACAGCTGGACCACAAGCTTGTGAAAGCTGTCAGTGTTTTGTTGTTGTTGTTATTTTTATCACCTTGTCATTTATTGATTTATCAGTCCCAGTCAGACTGTTATGATCTCCTGACTTTTGCCACGTCGTGGAGCTGAAAGAAAATGGATTTTGTTTATCTGGATGTTGAGTTTTCAGTCGTTGTTATGTGACACATCAGTATCAGCTGCAGTCACTGGTTTCTCCCACTGAAAACTCTGCGTCCACATGATTAGAATCAACTTTCTGTAAAAATCAGTCTTCCATCTGAAGTCACCGACGTCATCCACTGGAAACTTTCACCCCATCCAGCTGGACTAAATGAACCAATTTGAGCCAAAGCAAGCGCCACCTGATCATTTCAGCCAAACTAAACGGTGATGCTGAAGCCAATGGCTTCATTTCACAGATCCAACAAGCCACCTGATACTTGAGTCTCATTCAGCCAGCTGGAGCTCAGCAGAAAGAGGAATTTCCCAAATGACAGCTGGTTTCTGGCCAGAGTTCCCACTGAGCACCTTTGGCTTCTTGTCTCTCTCCTGCTGCCCTCTTTCATTCCTCTCTTACAAACTGATCTCAGCTGATACCAAACGTTCCTTCTTCCTGAATTTTGAAGTGTCTCTCTGAAATCAAAGTGTTCCACCAAAATCTGGACAGTAAAGCAGCTGCAGCTGAAGACACTGAGCACGAAATCCAGCTGCTCTGAACACCGAGAGGCTCAAACAGAACAACTCTGTGTTTGTGGGGTCTGTGATAAACATGTATGCATGAAAAGATTATAAAACAACATAAGGACACGAGCCACTGACTTCCTGCTTCATAGTTTTGTTCTTTTACTCTGCCGGAGTAGCTCTGCGTGAATCACAGCCCAAAGCAGTCTTTATATATCTCACACTGATTGGCTGCCTCTCGTAAACACAAAGCTCAAAGAGGAGCTGGTTGGGATCAGAGATGACCATATAAGGATTTCCATCCACATGACATCTCAGACATTCACGACTGATGAGTTTATAAAACACTCGTTCCATAAAACCAATGAGAAATAATTAACAGGAAAACACAAAGAAATACAACCGCAATTAACAGCATCATCATCATCATCATCATCCCTGTGGATAATAAAGCATCATGTCAATACCCTCAGAGTTATTTATTATCTTTGAGGAACAATTAGTAAAAAATAAACAGACTGATTCTGAAGGTTCTCAGTCATCCAGGTCATGGTAGTCTACAGAGCTTGCAAAGAAAAGCGTCTAGACTTCTTTAAGTTGCTTGAAGACGTTTCACCTCTCATCCGAGAAGCTTCTTCAGTTCTAAGGTCAAATGGTGAGAGTCCCAGATATTACTCCCACTAGGTTATATCTGGGACTCTCCACCATTTGACCTTAGACCTGAAGAAGCTTCTCGGATGAGAGGTGAAACGTCTTCAAGCAACTTAAAGAAGTCCAGACACTTTTCTTTGCAAGCTCCTTTGAAAACAGACTGATTAATATAAAATGTGCTTGGTGTTATAACCAGCTCTGAGCTTCAGTATTATGGGATGTATCATAACTGCACTAGTGTAACGTCGCTGAAGTAGAGGAACACACGTCGGTTGTCTTTGACTTCTTTTCTGATAAATCACTGCAGGAAACTTCAAAAAGTCCATTTTAGGTAAAACCTCGATCACCATGTCAGAGAGAGAGCTGCTTGAAGCAAGTCAGAACATAAAAAGCTCACGTTCTAGCTGTGAGTCATTTTCTAAAATACCAGCCTTCGGTGCTTGTTTGAGAACTTTTCCAGTCTGATAGAGTGAAGTTTTTATCCTGCCAGCTGGGACCTGGGCCTGCTTCTGTCACCAGACTGTGAATGATGATGATCTTCGTATATAACGCCCACCTTTCTATAGTACCAGGAAAATGACTGTGCAGAATCCGTCTGCTACATTACATTTAGAGGGATATCTTTGTCCTTATAATGTAATATTGATTTGTTTGCAGGTTTTAACAGATCTTAAACGTGTTTTTCAGTTTCATATTTCTATCTTCTGTGATTAACAAGTTATGAGGCTTTAAAGATGCCAAAAAATCATTTGAAAGCACCAAATTGAATCCACCTCAGGTACGCTGAGGCCTGAAGCTCTGAAAGTTTTTACAGTATGAAGATGAAATGCCTCAAGTTAATGTTTTATATATTATTGTGTTTATTTATTAAAGTTATATAAAGAATAATCCACAGATTCTGAAAGAGTCACCTGGGAAATATTTTCACATTTGGTTATTTTATATAAAAGAACCAAAAAGCATAATTATTTCTAAAAGCTGGAATATCTCTGTGGGCAGAGCTCCGAGCACCGCAGCCAAATCCGGCCTCCTGGAGTCTCCCTGGATAAGCTTTCCCGCCCCCCGCTCTTTGTGCTCTTATGTGCTGCTATTGGTTGGTACGATCCGTGACACAGGAGTACTGGTTATCACTGAAAACACTTGTACTGTGAAATTTATGACTATAAAATACTTTGTAAATGTTGCTAGAAAATTAGAAGATATAATAATTTCTAACTGAATTTAACGACCTTCTGACATCGATCATTAAACTGGAGAAGGTTGTAATATTGGGAGACTTAAACCTTCATATTGATGACGCTTCCTGTAACACTGCTGCCGAGCTCATCACTATCACTGAGTCTTTTAACTTTAAGCAGCATGTTTCTGGCCCCACACATACGAAGGGCCACACTCTTGATCTTGTTTTCTCCCTGGGTTTAAATATATATGATGTATGTGTGGAAGATGTCCATGTGAGTGACCATAGTTGTATATTCTTTAATTTGTCATTTTACGTGGATCCTTCACCTCCTAAATTGATGATCCAAAGGCGGATTATAAACCAAGATGCTGCTAGAAGGTTTTCTGCCATGTTTGTCCCTCGTATGGCTCAAAATGATATGGATTCACTTATTTTGTCTTTTAACAATCAATGTAAATCTATTTTAGATACGGTGGCACCTCTGAAACTAAATGTTGTCCATTCTTCAAATTTCTGTCCTTGGATAAATGAAAGTATTCGAAATTTTAGGAGATATTGTCGCAAATTAGAACGTTTATGGAAGGCTTCCAAGCTTGAGGTCCATAGGGTACATCTCAAGGAATCAATTTTCTCACTTAACAACATGATAAAAAATGCCAGAACGGAATATTTGCTAATTTAATAGCTTCAAAAAAGAAAAATCCCAGAGTATTGTTTGATACAATTAAAAACATTGTCTCTCCTGATATTCCTCATGTACCAGTTTATACTAAATCTGACTGTAATGACTTTTTAAACTATTTTGTTAATAAGGTCGCTGCTATCAGGTCTAATATTTCTCCATCATCCTCTCAGTATCACATTGACACGTTGCTTACCTCTGATACCTGGTCCTCTTTTACTCCTGTTACCTTACAGGACATCAGTGCTCTGCTTGGTCGAATGAAACTGACTACAAGCCACCTTGATGTACTTCCTCCATCATTTTTCATTAGTGTGTTCGATTCTATTGGCCCCTGTATTCTGGAAATAATTAATACTTCTCTTTATACTGGCTCAGTTCCCAGCTATTTTAAACAAGCTATTGTTGAACCAATATTAAAGAAACCAAATTTGGACCCATCTCTTCCAAGCAGTTACAGGCCAATATCAAAACTTCCATTGGTGTCAAAGATTTTGGAAAAAATAGCTGCAGAACAACTTATAAACTTTTTGGAAAAGAACAATGTTCTGGACATTTTCCAGTCTGGTTTCCGCAAATTGCACTCCACTGAAACCGCTTTGCTTAAAGTGTCTAGTGACATTCTGATGGCAGCAGACTCTGGAGAGTACACTGTTCTGGTTATGTTGGATCTCAGCTCTGCTTTTGATACTGTTGATCACAGCATCATGATAAATAGGCTGAAGCACTTGTTTGGGATTACTGGCGTTGTTTTAAAATGGTTTATGTCGTATCTATCTGAGAGATCCTTTACTGTCTGTATAAATCATGTGCTGTCGGAAACATCAGTTCTGTCTTCTGGGGTACCTCAAGGATCTGTTTTAGGTCCTATTCTCTTTTTGCTGTATATCCTCCCTCTAGGCCACATTATCAGACGTTACAGTAATATTTCTTATCATCTCTATGCTGATGACATTCAGTTGTACTGTTCTTTCAAAGCTTCTGAGTTGTATAAATTGTCTTGTTTAAATAATTGTCTGTCAGAAATCAAACAATGGTTAAATGACAATTTCCTTCAGTTAAATGCAGATAAAACAGAAACTTTGATTATTGCACCTGATCACATGCTCTCAGAAATTAGGCAGCATATCAGTTTTTTAGACCCTTCATTTCAGTCGAGTCTCAGAAACTTAGGTGTTATATTTGACAGTTCGATGTCTCTTGAGAAACACTCTAAACAACTTGTCCGGAACTGTTTTTATCATCTAAGAAACATTTCTAAACTCAGGCTACTGGTGTCAAAGGCAGAACTTGAGATGATTATTCATGCTTTTATCTCTTCTCGTTTGGATTATTGTAACGGTCTTTTTACGTGTCTTAACAAATCAGCTCTGGATCGCCTTCAGTCTGTTCAGAATGCAGCGGCAAGACTTTTAACTGGTACAAACAAGAGGTCACACATTACTCCAGTTTTGGCTTCTCTTCATTGGTTGCCTGTAAATTTTAGGGTTCATTTTAAAATTTTAGTTGTAACTTTTAGAGCTCTGCATGGTGAAGCTCCCCAGTATATCTCTGACCTGTTGAAACCTCATGCTTCATCCCGAGCACTTAGGTCTTCAGGTCAGAGGCTACTGGTGGTCCCACGTACTAGATTTAAAACACGTGGGGATCGGGCTTTTCAGGCACTGGCACCTAGGCTGTGGAACTCTCTGCCGTTGTCTTTACGCTGTCTAGACTCTACTGACTCCTTTAAAAAGCAGCTGAAGACATTTTTATACAAACGGGCTTTTAACTAATTTAATTAATTTTAACTTGTATGTCTGATCTTACTGTAAAGCACTTTGTGATTTTTATCTGTGAAATGTGCTATATAAATAAATTTTTACTTACTTACTTACTTACTTATATGGAATCCTGTGGAAAAAGAAAGTTTTGTTTTTTTCGATTTTAGGAACACTAAACCTAAAATATAAATTATTCAAATTTCTCTTTCCCAGGACTTTTTTCTCACAAATGAACCAAACAGTCGTCAGTGCTGTAACGATGTTAAAGAGGCTCATTAGGAGATCATTTGGGGACGATTCTGCTCTTTTCCAGTCCCATAATTGAATTCTTCAACACCAGCAGCTGTGTGTGAGTCACAGCGTTAGCAAAAACAAAGACAGCTGAGAAGTCACTGAAGAAATCCTAACCGTGAACCCTTCCACCTTCAGGTTCACACCTATCTGTGGTGCTCTGACGACGCCTCTTCAGACTCTACTGTCGCACTAACACTGGCTCTAATAGGCTCTTAACAGCTGGCAGACAACAGCAGCTTCCCAGAGGGAGCCAAGGGGATGAAAAGAAGCACAGTAACAGTGCCAAGCTGAGCCGAGCCGAGCCAAAACTGTGCCGAGTCTCGGGGAAAAAAGCTGTGCTATGTGGTGAGTTTTAGTCATGCAGAGTGGCACCTAATCCTGCGGCTCCCTCTCCTAACAGCAGACAGGTTGTTGAGCTTTTTAAAGCCTGATATCTGTTGAATCTTCCAAACAGAAACTGTCATTAAATTTAATACATAATTAATCTTTGACTGCCATCTGGTTATTACTTTCTGCGCCACGCTGAATCTGAAATCTGTTTCTTTTTCACACACAGTCAGTATCAGCTCATCAGGGCCGCATTGTTCTGTTCACTTTAGCTCCGCTGCTCGTCGCGTCGAGGGTTTGCTTACACACGAGCTTCTCATTAACCGACACCGAGAACGGGATCATCCCAGACGAGTCTGAGTTAAAGTGCCGCTGTTATTCTCAATAAAGGGGAAAATACTCTGATTCAATACAATGCAGTTGGTGTCTGTAATCCCTGCAGGCCAAAGCACTCCGGTTTCATAGTATTGGATCTGTATGATGTCATGAGGGGCCAATCAGAAAAATACTGTAACTGTCTTGTTATAGCAGTGGTATGGTTTCTAATCACTAATATGGTAGCAGTGGTTAGAGGGTTGGTGTGTACTGATACAGCAGCTTGGCCTTCAAGCCTGCTCACATCAAATGTTATATACAAAAACATGACATTGGTCCTTGTTGAGTTTTTAATGTCTCTTAGAATCATTAAGTTTCCTTTTTAGACTCCTCCAGGGCCGAAATTTTCCAAAATGAAAAATATGCACATATTGAACAAAATGATTTCCTGTTAGAGCTGGAGTACCATCTGGAAAACTCCAGAGCTGTGTTTGAATTGGATTAGACTATCTACTGGTGTTTTGTTTCTGTGGCACAACTTCTGATATTTCACATCCATTCATCCTCTTCCACTTATTCTTGTCAAGTTCATGGTGCTGGAGAATATTTGATATATGAATCTACGGTTTCAACGCAACCATTCTTTAGCTTTAGACAGTCGAGCTGGAGGCTCATGTTGATTTCAGATGGAATGCCTCAACATAAAACTGTTATCATTTTCCACAGGTGATTAGAGGAAGAAGCTAAAATCATCCAACATTCAGTTTGTTTCTGCCCTTAAATAACACTTACATGAAACTATTAATTCAATTTAGACTGACCAGTGGATAAAAACAAACTGAAACCACCGGCTTTTAGTTGGGTTCAGCTTCACTGTAAAGGCAGGCTTACAGAAAAAAAACAAATCGGGGATTTTCCCCAAATAATTGAAGATGGTGAAGAGCGAGGGTGAAACCAAAAGAGCTTGGAGACTTGGGGAAAGCTCCAAGGCAATATTGAGTTGGCTGTATTTCCACAAGATCAGGAAGAAACATTACCTGCCCAGTTATTAGTGCTGCCACTCAGCAGCTATTTGAGAAGTTATTTACAAGAACTTTTTTATTATATGAATGGAGAGGGAACCATCCATCCATGCACTTTCCGAACTGTTCATCCAGTTTAGGGTTGCTGGAGGGCTAGAGCCTCTCCCAGGTACCACAGGGCGGGAGGAGTTTTTGTACTTAACAAAACAAATTATCTACTAAAAATAAAAATACAGAAATTATAATAATAGTTACAATCAGCATTTCTGACTTCTCACACCAGAGCGCTGATAAAATTTCATGCTAATTCACAATATCATTACTGTAGGCCCTCAGAAGTATCAGGCAGTAATTCTTATGCAGACAGAGTGGAGGCCACTGGTTTGGTTTCAGAGTGTTTTACCAGGTTGAGGATGTAGTTGAGGCGTTTCAGCTCGCAGTCGATGATGATCTGGAAGTCCTTCTTGTAGTCGAGGTCAGCCAGCAGCTTGATGAAGGCCGGCTCTGTGAGACTGTCCAGGTTAACCGAGGTGACCTGCCAACTTCGTTCTGCCGCCGTGTCCAGGATCCTCTGCAACACTGCCAAACCTGAGGGACAGCAAAGTAAGACGGGAGCCGCCTCAGCTGCATTTAGTCATAGACAAGATGACATGATTTAAATTTGGATAATCTAATTTTTTAAATAAAATCTGTATTCATTATAAGCTTTATTAAGCTTAACTTAACATCAGCATCCAATAGCTATTTCACCTGACACAGTCCCAGTGACTGATCAGGTGGACTCAAGTAACCCCCATCATCATCTAGTATTCATTTAAACTTCTTTAAACTGGATCTTGGTTACTTTCAGTTTACCATTTACTTTGATCAGTTTATCAGCTTACCAACAATCAGCTATGGTCAGCAATCGTATCTAATCATTCATCTATAACAGCTGGCTTATTAATCCAACCATGAAGCTACTGTTTTTAGCTTCTACTTCCTTTAACAGCTATTCACTGTTACACGACCAACATTAAAACTAGAACGGACACAGGAAGTCATTTTGAGTTGATCCTGTTTAACTGACAGCTTTTCATCATTTAATATTGTTTGTACCTAACAGATTTATTTTGGGATTTTTTTCATGCCCATCTGTGCTTCATCACTTTCACTTGCTAAGCTATATTTTAAGTTTCAGAATAACCATTTTGCGCTGCTAAATATTCCAGTAAGAATAAGTCATTTTTATTTCAGCTCTATATTATACTTTATCAAATAGATTTGGTTATCTGCAACGTTAACTAAAATTATTACTTACTGCAATATTTTTAGCCAATGGTTTCCAATATTTTATTCCTAATTATAGAAGCTCCTTGAACTGTTCCTGTATTATAACATTTTTAGCTGTTTTAACTATTTTGTTTCTCAGCTATCTAAGCTACGTAGCAATCCAACCATTGTTCAGCACAGCGGGAGGGGGGGGTATAATTTCTCCTACTCCATGACTTTTAACTAACTTAACTTTTCTGCTAAACCTGTTCAGGTTCATTAACTTAGTGAAAGTTTCAGTGTTTCTCAGATTGGTTAGGCTAATCTTTTGCATGCTCCGTGACTACTGTACAAGTGACTCTTGGGCTATTTACTGCCGATTGGGAATCACCAAATCCGGGGTTTCACAAGGCAGAAATTGTTTTGACCATCAAACTGATTTTCAGCTTCACAACTTGCAGACCTGCAACCTGAAAAGTAGACGAGTAACAGACGTTTAAGGTAGTGATTAAGATCAGCGGACTCATTGAAAACTGTCTCTGACTTTTACAACTTTAAGTCAGAGCAAGACAATAAAACTTATTTTTCATTAGCACATTGTATGTCGTAATTATGACTAAGAAGTTTTTTACTTTTTTTGAGAGCCAGGTCTCAAAAAAAAACTTATAATGAGAAATATTATGAGAAAAGTTTGAGTGAGTGGGAGATATAATCGCTGAGTCACTTGTTTGAAATGTTATCAGCTCATTGAATGAGCCTCATTATTTGTTATCTATCCCATATGTTTAGCTGCTGGTAGGCAGTTATCACTGAATTACAACGGTGACCCAGCTAAAAGGAAGTACAGAGTGTTTCCAGATTCAGACTGCATCAAAAGTCCACATTAACTCGAATCTCAATCAAGTATGATTATTCTGAAGAGGATTTGTTGAGTATGTTTTCATGTTGATATGAGATACAGTGTTTATGACCTTCAGAATAATTGTCCTACGTTGAATACAATATATTTGTGTAAACCTGCAGCAGTCCAACAGTTTACCCGGAGAGTCTGACTCTGAAACTCATCCCAGCTGTATTATAGAGTGACCTTTCTCTTTACTTAGAAATGATCTCTGCTTCCTTTGATCTTTGTTGGCAGATATCTTTTCTCCAGCTCTTGTTGCCATTCGTCAGCCTGACGGATTACTTTTCAAAGACGCTTTGCTCCAAACTGCTGAATGAATGCAGAGATATGTTTTCATGTCAGCTGCTGAGGACTGGATTTGAAGAGGCAGTGGCTCCTCTGACTGAATGTCAAACTGTTTTGTAGTTTTGTTTTGTTTTTTTGTTTTGTTTTGTTTTTTTTTTGGGGGGGTTAGCGGAATCAGCCTCATATGATGTCTGCTGTAGGGCTGCCACAAACGATTATTTTGATAGTCGACTAATCAGATCATCATCCATTGGACATAAAACGTACAGCTTATTGCACCAGCAGCATCTGCTCTTATATAACTATCATTAGCTTACAGCTTTAGGTGTTTCAGGTCTGTGCTAACTAAAAATAAAGACAAGATGATAGTTTATTAAATGTTAATGAAATCTGCAGATTGTTTCGGTGAAGTTTAATAAACTCCTTGCTATCTAAAATATAACAGGACACCGGAGTAAATTCTGGAGCATCTCACACTTCTGATAATCAGCTGTCTGCTTGACGTTTATTCAGCTGTGTAAAAACTATAACTTTAATCTCAGCCAAACCGATTTACTCAGGAACAAATAAAATACTAAAAAAAGCCAAACAATAACATTTTAAGTTATCTAAGTGACTCATATATGTTTAACCTGAGTAGTGAAAGACGGTGGTGGGTTTGAAAAAGATTTGCCGGGAGTCCGGTGTTCTCACGGCTCTAGTTAGCCTAGCCCCCGCCTAGCTAACGAGCTAGTGGGTAACAGACATCTCCGAAAACGTCGGAGCGCTTTTGAAAATATGTGGTGTCTTGATAAACTGAGCAGATATTTGAGGTTTACACAGCTACATTCTCGCCTGAAAATATGTTAAATGTTTATTTTGTGACCCAGAAAGAATAATAAGAGTAACATTAAAACTAACTAGCTGCCGCCATTGTTGGAAACTGAACTGGGCTGCGCTATGAATTCTGGGACACAGCTTCTTCTTCTTCTTCTTCTTCGGGGTTTAACTGCAGCTGGCATCCTTGTACATGCAGTGCTGCCATATTCTGTTTCAGTCCGTTATTACACTCTTAAATCCTGCTACTTATTCCTGCGGCTTTTGGGATCTTACAAAGCTTCAAACGACGCGTCGACTATTAAATCAGTCGTCGACGATTTTGATAGTCGATGTAATCGTGACTAGTCGACTAATCGTGGCAGCCCTAATCTGCTGTCTGCCTCAGGCTGGACTTGACCCGTGTGCCACTTCAAAAGCTGCTTCACATGGAGATGCCACAGATGCGAATTTATTTTTGTTTAAGAGATCGCATTTGACTGAGAAAATAAATCAATGTCTGTGATGGTGTTGAAGTATCCAGGATAATACCTGAGAAGCTTATTCAGAGCAGCACAGACTCTCTTATCTCTCACACTGCTTCATCTTCTGTGCTGTGATATATTATTTAAGCAGAGAAGCCTGACCTTAAACAGTCAATGGTCAAAGAAACATGATACACCAGCTGGCCTCGGGATCAAACCTGGAAGATACATACTGGATGTGATTTTCAATTCAATGACATTTTAGAAATATAGTGGTAAATCACAAAAGCAGTCGCCTCAGTGCATGTAGTAAAGACTACAATGATACAGAGAAAGCTCCAACAATCAGACAACTTTCCCCCTTAAATCCAGGCTCAGGGACAGGTGGGTTGATGGGAGAGAGGCAGGACAAACACTTGCTAGTACTCATTCTATTGTAATTCAACTAAGTGCTGGAAATATTCCTTCTAGATTTTGCTCCATATTGATATAAAAACCTCATATATTTGCTACAGATCTGATCTTCATAACACTGAAGATCAACCACAGAAGGTTGGTCCACTGTGGTCACAAAGGGCTGGACAGAAATGGTACTCAGGCTGTGGTTTTTAATGATGCTCAGTTGCTACTATTGATCCCAGAGTGTGCAAATAAATTATCCCATAATTACAATTGCTTAGCTGACAGGAATGGCACCCAGTGTGGTCTTTTGCTGCTGCCCACCAGCTTCAAGGTTTGATGTGTTGTGCTCTCAGAGATGCTCTTCTGCATACTTTGGCTATATTTAGTTATTTGAGTCTCCATTGGCCTGTTCTCTAACACCATTATGGCATTTTGTCACAGACAACTGCAGCTCACTGCATAGTTTCTTATTTCTGACATTCTCTGTAAACCGTAGAAATGGTCATGATATCCAGACCAGTCCACTGGGTGCTGCAATCCACCAGGGCTGCCCTTTGTAAATAGTTTTGGTCATACATTTACACAGGAACTGAAGACTTGGACATCATTTGTGAGCGTAGCAAAGCTATCCCATGATTCTGTTTTTAATCCCAGACTCAGGAATATCTGAATCCCAGTGTTTTCTCATATTTGCTGCACAGTTTTACAAAGTCTCTGAGAAACTGCTTTATAACACCGTTATTAAAGATGATGGTTTGGAAGAAAGTCTTGAAGCTAATGCTAAGCTGTTTGGACTTTATAATCACATCAGACTCAGTTCGATATTGATTGATTTCTTCTTTCTCGTCTGTGCTTCATCAGTGTCTGCTGGGAATCAGCTGGTCAAATCAACTGATGTGAAAACAGGAATGTGTGAAAATGTCCTGGGCGTGGAGCGACCGGGGCGAGAGAATCGATGAGTAAAATAGGTTTTCTGCAGTCGCTTAGATTCTTGTATATATATATGAACGTATTGTGTACATTTGTAATATTTACACATCACCACATTTAAACTGTATGTTAACAGGAAACAGGATCACCTTCAGCTTTGTTACCTGTTTGTATTCTGGTTCTTTGCGTCCCTTTCTTACCTGTGTGAGCGTCAGCGTCCATGCAGGTGATGCTCACAGCCATAAGTATAGTGGATTGAATGCTTGCCACAGCTTGCTACTAAATGTTTTTGCACCTATTTCTGCCCCGTGACCTACTTTTTCAACATCTCCTTTAAACCTTTCAGGGTCTTGAAAGGATAGAACAATTTCAGGAGAACAAGCCTGTGATTTTGCCCACAGCACAAAGCAGAAAATGATCCAGTTCTATTCAACTGTGGTTAAGGTGAGGGAGCTGCCTGGATGGCGAGTGCAGGAGGCAGCGCTCAGGACTACTGCAGTAGCAGGCTGGCAGCTGAAAAAGCAGCTACTGTACAG